AGGCAGTTTCAGTACAAAAAGCAAAGTTTTATTGTCATGGTGTCTTTCTATATGGTGAATGTCATTGTTGCTAACACTGCCTGGTCTGCCCCAGAGGAAAAACAACCCACAGAAAAGCATGAGCTCTGAACCAATCACAGCCACCTCCTCTCATCACGCTGCAAACCCAGCCTGAGAAGGCCAGCCGTCTCTACAGAGAGCGGCTGCTTTGGGTCCAGTCATATGCAGAGGGAGATGGCCCTACTTCCTGCTGAGGTCACACATTTCCTGTCAAAGCCACACTCTCACCAAGATGCTGCGCTGTGTCCTTAAAAGAGCTCAGATCTTTACATAAAGCCCTGAACACACTGACGGTTGTAAAGATGAAGGCATCTTTCCTTTTGAATGGCTTCTAAGCCGTCATTTTAAATCGATAACATCATGCCAGTCCTCACACGCAGCAGAGCTTCAAGACTTCCATAGACAGAGTTTCTAAAAATATACAATGAAAAGATGTGCTTTGATTTAGAGAAGGGATTGTGTTTCTAGTGACCGGATGATGGGAGCAGAGTCCAGACAGATCAGGAATAAAATGACCCGAAACTAGAACCTGAGGGAAGCTAAAATAAGGATGTTTGCCTCATAACTAAAGACACGGCACTCATCTGAAATGCTTTCAATCAAGCAAGTAAAACCTGTGTGTAGCTTCACTCCTCTGGGTGGAGTAAAAAACATTAGAAATGCTCATGTTGGGGTCTAATTTACTAAAGTGGTGCCTTGCCAGAGGGCACAGTGGAACATGGCAGGGAAGGAATGGGGAATCAAACTCCCCCCATCCAGTGGCGCCTCCAGAAATGTTTCATGGGGGGGCAGATGGGGTGGCCACTGAAACTAAAAGCCATAATTTCAGGGTTGAATCTACTATAGTGGTAAACCTGCCTGTAGAAATCAGACTTCAGTAAACACCTGCTCAGATCTTGGTGTGATTTTTAATGTCGCCGTCTGTCAGAATGGGACGAAATGCTAACCTGATGCTACTACATTGATAACATTAATGCATTTCATTTGTATTTTCTGTCACGGATTCAACATCAGCTCTGTGAAAAGACTAAACCGTTTGACATTCTTCAAAATCTAAAAATAAAATAAAATGGCATCCATTGTCTTCTGTCCATTATTTCCCTATTAGCTTGTTAGCTCATGAAGCTAATACTGTGAAAGTGAAATACTAAAAAAAAAAAACGTTGTTAAACCAGGCTAAGTCTTCTTGTCCAAGTAAAGTAAACATTCGATAGGATGACAGTCGCCTAAAATGTTTGCATCACTCTATCATTAATTCCACACCGAGAAAAAATTGGTGGAAAAGAAGACATCATTTACATCCAAACAAGTTAATATTTGGTTGAAAATTGAAATGCAAAAAGCCGTAAATTTCAGATTGTTTAAAAGACGTTGAAATCTGGGTTTGTAACATCTTTTTAACGTTTATTATTGGACTACAGTGGGAATAAAATCTGACTGAACAAACAGCCCAATTTAAAACAACTATTTATGGACAACAGTAGCAGCCATTCAAAATGGCCCTTCCCAGTCAAATGCCATCCCAATGGAAGCCCACTCCCTTGCGGCTCCCAGCACAATCCCCTCCAACTTCCACACTGGACGGACCCCCACTTGCATATTTTTTTACTCTGACTCCACCCTTTCACTGAATTACAGGGTCTGACCAGGAGATGGCGCTTCGCTTTAGATCTTAATGTCCACAAATCATGACAGAAATAATATTTTAGTACAAAGATTGATATTTAAAAAGGAATTGTAAGAGACCAGCCAAGGACCAGCCAAGGGCCATTCAAGCACCAGCCAAGGGCCAACCAAGGACCAACCAATGACCAGCCAAGGACCAGTCATGGACCAGTCAAGGACCAACCAAGGACCAGCCAAGGACCAGCCAAGAACCAGTCGAGGACCAACCAAGGACCAAGCAAGGACAAGCCAAGAACCAGCCAAGGACCAACCAAGAACCAGTCGAGGACCAACCAAGGACCAGCCAAGGGCCATTCAAGCACCAGCCAAGGGCCAACCAAGGACCAGCTAAGGACCAACCAAGGACCAACCAAGGGCCAGCCAAGGGCCAACCAAGGACCAGCCAAGGACCAGTCGAGGACCTACCAAGGACCAGCCAAGGACCAGTCGAGGACCAACCAAGGACCAGCCAAGAACCAGTCGAGGACCAGCCAAGGACCAGCCAAGGACCAGCCAAAGACCAGCCAAGAACCAGTCGAGGACCAACCAAGGACCAAGCAAGGACAAGCCAAGAACCAGCCAAGGACCAACCAAGAACCAGTCGAGGACCAACCAAGGACCAGCCAAGGGCCATTCAAGCACCAGCCAAGGGCCAACCAAGGACCAGCCAAGGACCAGCTAAGGACCAACCAAGGACCAACCAAGGGCCAGCCAAGGGCCAACCAAGGACCAGCCAAGGACCAGTCGAGGACCTACCAAGGACCAGCCAAGGACCAGTCGAGGACCAACCAAGGACCAGCCAAGAACCAGTCGAGGACCAGCCAAGGACCAGCTAAGGACCAACCAAGGACCAGCCAAGGACCAGCTAAGGACCAACCAAGGACCAGCCAAGCACCAGTGGAGGACCAACCAAGGACCAGCCAAGGACCAGCTAAGGACCAACCAAGGACCAGCCAAGTACCAGTGGAGGACCAACCAAGGACCAGCCAAAGACCAGTCGAGGACCAGCCAAGGACCAGCTAAGGACCAGTCATGGACCAGTCAAGGACCAACCAAGGACCAGCCAAGGACCAGTCATGGACCAGTCAAGGACCAACCAAGGACCAGCCAAGGACCAGCTAAGGACCAACCAAGGACCAACCAAGGGCCAGCCAAGGGCCAACCAAGGACCAGTCGAGGACCAACCAAGGACCAGCCAAGAACCAGCCAAGGACCAACCAAGGACCAGCCAAGTACCAGTGGAGGACCAACCAAGGACCAGCCAAAGACCAGTCGAGGACCAGCCAAGGACCAGCTAAGGACCAACCAAGGACCAGCCAAGGACCAACCACGGACCAGCCAAGGGCCAGCCAAGTATCAGCCGAGGGCCAACCAAGGACCAACCAAGGACCAGCCAAGGACCAGTCGAGGACCAGCCAAGGACCAGCTAAGGACCAACCAAGGACCAGCCAAGGACCAGCCAAGGACCAGCCAAGGACCAGCCAAAGATCAGCCAAGGACTAACCAAGGACCAGCCAAGGACCAGCCAAGGACCAGTGAAAGACCAGCCAAGTATCAGCCAAGGACTAACCAAGGACCAACCAAGGACCAGCCAAGGACCAGCCAAGGACCAGCCAAGGACCAGCCAAAGATCAGCCAAGGACTAACCAAGGACCAGCCAAGGACCAGTGAAAGACCAGCCAAGTATCAGCCAAGGACTAACCAAGGACCAACCAAGGACCGCCCAAGGACCAGCCAAGGATCAGCCAAGGACCAGCTAAGGACCAGCCAAGGACTAACCAAGGGGCATACGGCTCTATATGAAATCTCCTGAGTTCATTTCTATACTGCCAGTTCACAACACGTCATCTCAAGGATCTTTAGTGATGACTGAATCGGACCGGTTGAAGGTTGCATTCTCCCACGCACTCCTCCTGGATGAGCAGGTAGAGACAGCTTTCAGCAAACATCAGGCTGCGTATCAGATGAACCCACACAGCTGGTGTCACATTTTAGAGGAAACCCGTCATGAAGGAAGCAGCATGCACAGGATGTCTGCAGACGTTCACATCTTCAGAGCATCAAAATGAACGCCGCCGTGTAAGCGTGTTCAAAGCTGGACAGAATGGTCTTTACTTTATCCCGTCCAAAAACAGATGGGTTTAATTCACCCATTAATTGATGCTGGTGGTGAGCTCAATGGTTCTACTGGGGCAGACTGACTGGAACATGGCTGCCATGAATTCATTGCCCTGACCACCAGCAGGAGGACCAGCAGACTCATGGACACTGTTTCTCCTTAAGAGGACACATGTTTCTGATTTCTGAGACAGAGGTGGAGAAATGATGATAGGATGAGTAGAAGAGCTCCTAGACAGGAGCTGCTTCCAGATGGAGGCAGCATGTCAACACGCACTGGGCCAGATCTTCTGCACTGGTTTGCTAAATGATGGCAGTGATCATGAACACAGACTACCACACTGCAAAAAATGGAAATCTAATACGTCAATTTTTCTTAAACTAGATAGATATTTTTCTTGAATTCAGGAGATAACTGAGACACGTTGGCAATTGAGTAAGACAATTTCCTTTCTTATTTCATGTGCTGTTATATAATTATCTTATTTTAAGAGTAAAAATCCTCATTCCACTGGCAGATCATATTATTTATCTGTTCAATTTAAAAGGTAAATACAGTTAATTTAGGAAATCTTGACTTATTTTTCTAGATGCTTTTTTGCAGTGAAGGCTCACACTGGAAAAGTGATCTAGAAATAAGAAAAAATGTCTTAAATTAAGTGTATTTACTCTTAATCTGAGTAGGTAATAGTGATAGTTTGCCAATGGAATGAGTATTTTTACTCTTAAAATAAGATAATCCGCTAATATTCACTTGAAATAAGACAATGCAATTGTGTTTTCTCATTTTAAGTGTAAATTGTGCCTTTCCTTTGACAAAATGTCTATTTTACCTTCTCTTTAAGAAAGAATGACTCATGTAGATTTAGATGTTTTGCAGCGCAGTGTTTGCCTGCTGAGTTTGAACAAGTCAAAGCTGCTGACCATGTGAGAGGGAAGTGGATGATGTGAGAAATGATGAGGATGGAGATCTGACCAAATGTCTTCAGCTGCTCTGATCCTGCTCTCATCTCACCTGCATGTTTCCTTTCTTCACAGCAGAATCTAGAAAAGTGTTTTTCTGGATCAAATCAATCTGTGATGTGACGCAAACAGCTGATGATTTTCGGCAGCATGTGTGACTTTCTATCTTTCCTTCCATGCTGCATTGCTCTGACCTTCCTCGCGCTCCTCCGGCTCCTGCTGTCGCTCCATCCGCTCCCCGCTGCATCCTCGTCGGCAGAGCCCGGTTCTTCCTCCTTCTCTTCCCCTTCCTCCAGGTCCCTTTCCCCGGCCTCCTGCTCCACCTGCTCGGTCCGGGGCCGTTTAGCTGAGCGGTAGAGTCCTCCATCTCCTCCCTGGCCTCCTCCTGCCTCCTTGTCCTCCATCTCAGGAAGGTGTGAGATAATGATTGTAGGCTGGAAAAGCGGAGCGGCCTGATCTCAGCAGCTCCTCTGTCTGTCTGCTGCTCTCTGCCGCCTCCACAGCTGCGCTCTGCCTCTCTACAAAGATAGCTGAAGAACGAAGATGTCTTACTCTGATACACTTCCACTGCATCCATTTATTGTGACCGGCTCTTAAAAAATGATATGAAATACTGTATTTCTACGACGGAGTATCAGGGCCACGATAGAGATTTTTCTTCTTCTGTTTCGAGAATTAATTTGTAACATTACAAGAATAAAGTAATATTAGAGAATAAAGTAAAATTACGAGAAGTTGTAATATTACAAGAAGAAAGTTGTAATATTAGAGAATAAAGTTGTAATATTACCAGAGTAAAGTTGTAATATTACAAGTATAAAGTTGTAATATTAGAGAATAAAGTTGTAATATTACAAGAATAAAGTCATGAATCTCTAACCTGGCCCTAATACTCCTTCGAACTAAAGTAGGGCTGAAACAATTAATCAGATTAATTGATTACTGAAATAATCGTTAACTAATTTAGTAACTGATTAATGGTTAACTGGAGTATAGAGAGCATTGCGATGGACTGGCGACCTGTCCAGGGTGAACCCCGCCTCTCACCCGTAGACAGCTGGAGGCACCAGCACCCCTCAGGACTCCACTTTGGATTAAGCATGTCAGAAAATGGATGGATGGAGTAAAGAGACTCTGGGTGTCTTTAGCTGACAGAGCGACCCACTTAGAGCAGCTATTTTACTAAATTGTAAAAGAAAATATGTAAACATTTTGCCTTTAAGACAATAAAACATTTTCTCCTGTCAGTTTGCTCTATCCAAAACTCCTAAAGTGGAAAGGTTTTAGTTTCACCTGTTCAATTTAGTAAAAAATCTTCTTTAAAGAATCTTTAGATATTAAGCAATAAATCAAATAATGGGCAGATGAATTGATTTGCAGAATAATCGTTAGTTGCACCGCTAATCTAAAGTCTATTTAGACTTTAAACCGGTTCATTTTGTTTCTGGAGGAAGAGAAACTCCCAGATGGCAGCAGATCATCTGCTGTATGTAACTGATGGGGATTAGTCTTTTTAAACTGTTTGATCATCTTGTGTTTCTGAGGAAGACAGATAATATGACCTCGCAGGTCTTTTCACAGTCACATAACACTCATAAGCCTGATATAATGGAATAAAAAAAGATTCCTCCTGAATGTGCCTTTAAGTGTAGAAATGAAAAGATTTACTGCACAAAGTGCTGCTAGACTGCAAGAACCTTTAAAAAGAGCAGTAATATGTAGAATTGGTTGAACTGTAAAGTGCCTTGAGATGACATGTGTTGTGAATTTGGTGCTATATAAATAAACTGAATTGAATTGAATTGAATTGGAATCTGTTAAACCCTTGCTTGTTATGGTTCTTATTTGTTGTGACTCTGAGTTTTCAGTTTTCTGTTATCAGTTGTTTTGTTTTTATTTTCCATGATCTTCAAGCATTCTTTAGTTACTCTCTGTTGCCCCCTTGTGGTTGTTTTCTTTTCCCTTGGATTCCCTCTTGCCAGTTCCACCCACACCTGCTCCCCATTCAGCTCGTTAGTCCATCCTTTTGTTTGGTTGTCCTTAAATACTCCTCCTCTGCAGTCACTCAGTGCTGGTTCCTTCTCTTGTTGCTGTATTGTCTACTCAGCTCGTCTCTCCCCGACTCCTCAGACTAGTTTTTCCCCTGATGTCTCCATGATTTTGGTTTGTTTTATATTTTAAGTTGGATTTCTGCCTCTGCTGCTATTTGGTCTGCAATTAAACCTCTCAGAACTCATCTCTGCTTCACTTGTCTCTGCATCTGGGTCCTCAAGCAACCTCACCACCCACTGTTGACATTGCTGCAAAAAAGAAATGCACCAAATTGTCAAAAAATAGCGTCACTAACATGTTCCTTCTTTTAGAGTCTTGGTTCCTTTTAGGATCTGTATTTGACTGTTCCCCATGTCTCAGTAGGGTTTCTCTCTTAGATGAAGCTATAACTTAAGCTATGACTACAGCTTACCTTTTATTTCCTTTCAGATTGAAAGTTCTCCTAAATATGTGCTTCTATGTTCCTTTTTGTGTCCCAGATGTTCTTACCAGAAGGACGCTCACACTGAACCCGCTTCACCTGGAAGTTTCTTCCAGCTAAAAAAGTTTTCTTTTCCACTGTTGCTGTGCAGTGCAGTGTTTTCTATGAGGGATTTGCTAAAGGGTCAACAGCACAGTACACCCTTATATCTACTGTGGTTGCATGTTCATCCAGGAGGATGAATCCAGGAGGATGAGTCAATGAGAGGATGCAATTGGCTGGTTTTCCTTAGGCAGAAAACTTTGAACCAATCTGACTGGATGATCTGGTGAACCATCCATACAGAGACACTAGATTGAATCATATTCAACTACAAGAAAAAAAAAAAAGTTATGTAGTATTGCCAACATTAGATTGATGATGTTACTTTGAGGCTAAGAAATCATTTTCTTTCTGCCTTCTTTCATTGCTTCACTTTTACATCCAAAATAGAATAAAAAAATTCCCTTCTGATGTTCAAAGCCTTAAGTAATAAGGCTAACCAGCTCTGAATAACAATCAATGACCTAAATGTTGTCTATGTTCCTAACAGAGCACTTTGCACTCAATCTGCAGGTTTACTAGTGGTTCCTAGAATTTCTAAAAGTAGAATGGGAGGCAGATCTTTTAGTTATCAGGCTCCTCTCCTGTGGAACCAACTACCAGTTTTAGTCCGTGAGGCAGACACCCTGTCTACTTTTAAGGCTAGGCTTAAAACTTTCCTTTTTGATAAAGCTTACAGTTAGAGTGGCTCAGGTTATCCTGAGCTATCTCTATAGTTATGCTGCTATAGGCTTAGACTGCTGGAGGACATAGGGACCCCTTTTTCATCATTCTGCTTCATTCCTCTTCTTCTCTGCAATTTTGCATTGTTTGTTAGTTTAACTTCCAACTTGATATCTTAAGGGCTCAGTGGGTAAAGGAGAAATAATGGAATAAAGTTGATTAATATGTTGATGGCTTCAGATCGCTTCATTGACCTAATATTTGAGTTTTTGGAAAGTTTTTTTTTTAACTTTCTTCTTTGTATTAATATTTATTGATAAAGGCAAATGTTCCACCCAACTCAATGTCATAGGAGGGGCGACATTGGCTTTGGGTGTAGGAGTTTAACCTGAAATCTAAGGATTGACGGTTCAAGCTCCGGCTCTGGCTTTCAGTGTCGTTGTGTCCTTGGGCAAGACACTTCACCTTTAAGCGCTCGAAAAAGCGCTATATAAGTACAGGCCATTTACCATAAGAGTCTGCGCTATTGGAAGTTATTTCAACCGTTGTTACAATTTGCCGTGGGCAGAGCTATCTCATGCTAAATACAGCAGCATAGCATCATGTTCAACTCTTTCATCCTTTTTCATCTTTGAGACTTTGGGACCATGACTATCTTAGCTTTATCCTAATTTCTAAGATTATCAGTTTATAACACAAATTCTTTCCAGGGAAATTACTCCATATTGACAAAGGGTTTTTAATCTCCCATTTAAATAATCTCCATGGTCACATGATTACAAAATCAATCCTTTGTGTTACTGTGATGGATGTGTTCTTCGCTGTTCCATGATCAGCCGTTGTTACTGTGAAACCAAGCGGAAGTGATCAGGAGCAACGGCAGCTTGGCCACGCTAGACCACCTAAACTAATGGAGCAGTGCGTGACCTGTGATACTGTGCAGGGGTCAGCAAGCTTCTACAGACCTCCTAACTTTATGTCACCTTCAGCCAGAACAGTGCATAGAGAGCTTATTGGAAAGCCATACATACGTCAGCAAAGATGCAGTAGTATTTAAAGGGATAGTTCGGTATTTTTGACATGAATCTGTATGGCATCCCGATCACCAGCGGCATGCAATCACACTGACTTACCCCTGGCAGCGTCCTGTGAGCAGAGTTATCGTCCAGTTTTGGTCAAGCCGAAAGTAGTCCTGCAGGTTTTTAGGAACAGCGAAATAAAACTTTTCTCTTCCCAAAACATTATGTGTCCAAAAGAGTGATATTTTCGCATCCCAAAAACATTGTAGTGGAAAAAGTCACACGTCGTTATCAATTGGTCCTATTTTCTCTCTGTTCGTATCAGTGCGCGCCGTCATTCAGACAGCGAGCCCAACAACAGCCATGTCTCCTTCCGCGGTGGACTTTTTCCACTACAATGTTTTTGGGATGCGAAAATATCACTCTTTTGGACACATAATGTTTTGGGAAGAGAAAAGTTTTATTTCGCTGTTCCTAAAAACCTGCAGGACTACTTTCGGCTTGACCAAAACTGGACAATAACTCTGCTCACAGGACGCTGCCAGGGGTAAGTCAGTGTGATTGCATGCCGCTGGTGATCGGGATGCCATACAGATTCATGTCAAAAATACCGAACTATCCTTTTAAGCCTTCGGCTGCTGGACTCTAGAGGATCGGAGATGCTTTCTCCGGATTGATGAATTGTTCTTCTCCATCTGGCATTCTGATGGAGGAGTCTGGGCCTGCTGGGTGCCAGGAGAACAGTTCTTGTCTGGCTGTACTCAACCAAGTGTAAAGTTTGGTGAAGGTGAGGACAGATTTTGGTGTAGATGAGCTGAACTGGCCTGCATACAGTCCTGACCTCAACCTAGTTGAACACCTTTGGGATGTAATTAAGGAGCATGGCCTTCTAACTGGGTATGGGTTTCTTAAAGGATGGTCAAACACGCATTGATTTTTTACTTTTTTTTTTTTTTGTTGAGTTTTTTACGACACTAGTGGCTCGTTTTTTTAAGCTTACAGGAAAGGAGGTATGAGAGTTAATGAAGACATAAAACTAATGTTAATATTTGGGCACTGACAGCGTAGCCGATCAGTTCTTTGGGATAATGTCATTTTTTTATGTTTCACTGTAATGATTGGAAAATTAATTTATGATTGAAATGATTTAAAATAAAGGATTTGACATTTTTATGCTGCACTGATCTAGAAAGAACTTGAAAGAGCTAAAACTGCTGAAACAATAAGCCACTTCAGATCCAGATGTGAAATGTGTTTGTTTAGAGTGGCCTTTGACTTTGAAAACTAAATTACCATTTATTTTTTATTTAATTAATAATTAAATAATTAATTACCGTAATTTATTTTTTATTAATAAAATCAAATAATTAAACTGAGAGAATCTCAGTTTAATTATTTGATTTTATTAATCATTTGATCGCCTTTATGCATAGCAGGCTGCTTTTCTCTGTTGTTTTGTCTTTCTATTGTCTCTTTTTTCTATGTACACCACTATGAATGGTGCTGCTACTGAGATGTGCTGTAGATAAACCTGCCTTTATTGGAGCCTAAACACAGGGTTAGGAAAAGTGGAGCAGAACAGCTCACCACTTGAACGGCCTGGAGGTAGACTTCTTTTTATGCATATATTCTGAAATATCACCCAACTTTTATTTTGATAGTTCTTGGTCCAAACATGATTCATAGTGCATCACAGAGCAGCAGGGTCTCTAGCTTAGCCCCGCCCCCTCCAATATGTTTAGGTGGAGACAGGACAGCAACTCTCTGCAACAGGTCAGAGAGAAGCAGGCAGTCAGGATGACACCGGTAAGGCTATCTATCTATTCTATTTCTATCTATCTATCTATCTATCTATCTATCTATCTATCTGTCTGTCTGTCTGTCTGTCTGTCTGTCTGTCTGTCTGTCTGTCTGTCTGTCTGTCTGTCTGTCTGTCTGTCTATCTATCTATCTATCTATTGATTCCAGTGAACTTTAACCTTGCAGATCGTGGATTCACTTGTTTTATTTTTCTAAGCTTTAACATTAATGATGTCTTGTACTGTATATCTGGCACGCTGTGTTTCTTTGTCCAGGACATTAATTATATTTCAGACGCAGCCTTTGTAACAAACGTTAAAGGGTGAAAGAGAGGGGAAGCTGATGCTGTCAGTTTGAGGAAATAGAGCCAAACTTCTGTGTGCAGAGTTGTTATCCAGCTACCTTTTAGTTGGATCATGATACTCCTGTGGCACGAATAGAGGAAGCTAAAAGCAAACCTTCATGTTTCACCTTCTCTAAAAAGGAACCTACCCATGGTGTTAGTTCCACATTCTCAGTGATCAGAGCACCATCAGCTCTTTTTCCCACTGACAGTCCAAAGGCTTTAACTGAGAAACAAGCAGACCGAGGATTACTACATCTGTTTAATTATCTCACCTATAGGTTTATGTCTTGATGTCCATCATGTTCATGACTGTCAGGCTTGTTCCTGTGAGTTTGCTGCAAACAAAACACATCCATGTCTCAGTATGCTGTTCTTTATAATCACATTGTACTTATCAACATATCAAAGCAACAAAATGTGTAGTTTGTTAGCATATAATATTAACATTTAGATTTAGCTTTTTTAATATTTAGTTTGGATTTGAACTCAGTGCTCCTTTTTCAAAGACTCATTCTCAACCTTTTCATCTTCATAGAGCTGCAAAGGGCTGAGATTTACCAACTATTAACAAAGTGAAGAATCAAAAAGACAAAGGAAAGTCAGCTCTTACACGCCTGTGGCTCTGCTGTAGTTCATCATTTTTTTCACAGCGGGACGGCGCTGGTTTACTGGAACGGAGCAAAGCTCCTGTTGGAAAGCGTCTGATGGAGCCAATCCACAACAGGAAGACTCTCTGAGACAGGCATATGTCTTAACCACACTTTTTAGTCACATGGTTGGAAACAGGCTTTTGTCATACAGAGCTCTGCCTGTGAGTGATAAATTAATCTTAGTATCACAACAAATCCCTATTTCTCCTCTGCAGGTTTTTCCATATCTAGTGCTGCTAACCCATTGAACACAAAGCTTGTTGATGTTGATTACACTAATGTAATGTTTTATATTAGGAACAACCATTAATTTTATATTCAGTTTACAACATTATCTTCTGTTCCATTCAAATTACATGTGTAGAATAGAACACATGTAAATAGAATAAAATAGAATAGAATAGAAAATCATTTTATTGTCCCACAATTGGTAAATTCTGGGGTTTACAGCAGCAAAATGATTACACAAAAATCTATAAGAATAACATAATAGCGAAAAGTAAAAAAATAAACAAATAAAATACTGTACTGTAAAGTGTTTTAACAAGAAAAATACTTTGCACCTGGAAAATAGCCTCGTTTTCACAATACAATATTTTATTGTAGTATGTTTTTACAGTTGATCCTTGTTTATTAAACTTAGAGCTGGGATTGCTGATAATCCAAAAGGTATCAATCCTACATTAATTGATGTTCTGCCTGCTAAATAAAACAAGAGCCAGAGCTGCAAAAACAAAACCTTTTTATTAAGATATAATGCAGTGAAATGCATTAAAGTTGAGGTGACCTCAACACGTCATTATTTTAAACAGACTGCAGAAAACTATTGCAGCCATACAGTAACTTTAACTGTAATGTTTAGTAATGCAGCCAAACATGTGCAACATGTAAAAACGTACCATACTTTTGAACTAATTAGGTAATGAAATAAAGGCTCCCATTGTCTTTTATTTTGCTACAAAACCATTCCAAGTCCATTAATCTTTCGAGACGTGCAGAAACATGAGGGCTGGTCCAACTGTTCTTCTTCTCTTTTACCTTCCTGCTTTTAGGATCGATCCACTTGATTATTCTTCTGCTAGAGGTTGGGGTGATTCCAATGAAGCATTGGAAGTTACATGATTAAAGAAAAGGACACATATTAAAATACATTGTTTGCAATAGGCAGTAGAATCCAAGAAGTTGTGGAGAGAAGCTGATCAATTTTCTAAATATGCAAAAGTGCAAAACTAATATCTTCTTTGATTTCAGATTTGGAGGTCAAGGTAATATAATAGTATAGCTGTTTACTCAAAGAGATCACATAGCATCATAAGAGAGAAACCAGGAACCACTGTCAAACATTTGGATGGTGCCCCCAAGAACACCAGACATCATTTAGCAATGTTTTTTTGGCTACATCTGGTTTAGCTCAGAAATAGCTGTTAACAATCAGGCTGTGTTTGGCCAGTCTGATGTCCCACGTTTGGACAAAAGCCGTAACTTTTAGATTGTTGAAAAGACTTTGAAAACTTCTTTCAATGTCCTGAAACTTGTTGTTTGGATGTCTTTCCAACCAATATTTGCTCAGTGGGGCAGCTCTTCTTTCTAGGAATTCGACCAAATGTGTTAGTCCTCCAAAACAATGACAGCAGGGTGCAGACCAGCAAGCAGAGTCGTAGTTTAACACATCTCTTTGCAGCTTCTCTACTGTTTACTCCATCCAGTGTGTTGCCCACGACCAAAATCAAATTAATTATAAAAGAATCATAAATGAGTAAATCATGAAAATCAATAAAAATTAAAATGATACCAATCAGGGCAAAAGGCAGGTATTGTGGGTTATTTTACATAAGATCTCTTTCCTCAAAAAGTCTGCTAGTTATTGATTTGATTTGTGATAATCACATTGATTTATGTTGCCTTTCAGAAAATTGGCTGCAGTAAGAGGATTATGTGAGCATAAATGAGGCAACTACTTCTACTTATTCAAATTTTCACATACAAGAGGAGCACACAAGGAGGAGTAGCATCAGTCTTTCAGTCTGACTTGCTGATTATGCCAAAGACAGTTAATAATTACTCTTGTGAGCATTTAACCCTTAGTTTCCCTAATCCAAATTGCCAAGCGAGAAAATCTCTTCTTTGTATCGTCCACCAGGTCCTTACTCTGAAATTTAGATGAGTTTTCAGAGTTCCTTTATGATTATGTATTAAATACTGACAGGGTCATCATAGCGGGGGATTTTAACATCCACGCTGACACTGAAGGCGATAGCTTAAGAGCAGCCTTTAATGCTATCTTAGACACTATTGGCTTTGTTCAAAATGTGAATAGTCCCACACATTCTCATCTTCATACTTTGGATCTTGTGCTGACATACGGCATAGAATGTGAAGAAATAACAGTATTTCCTCACAACCCTGTCCTTTCTGACCACTTTTAATAACCTTCAGAATAACTTTAACTGGGTTCTCCTCCCCTTAAAGAAGGTTCCACTTTAGCAAATCATCAAATAGTGCAGTTATAATTTTTAAAGAATCTGATTCACTTTCTCTCTCTTTTTTGTCGCTGAGCAGTGCTGCGGAGGGAAAATTTTATTTTAGTTTATTCTCCTTCACAGGTTGATGATTTTGTTGATGGGGTTGCTAGTTCTCTGCGTATTGCCTTAGACAACGCAGCTCCTATGAAAATGAAAACCGTTAAAAATAGAAAGCTTGCTCCTTGGTTTAATGCAGAGCTGCGTACTTTGAAGCAAAATGCTAGGAAACCAAGTGAAAAGAAACCCATCCTGTAATTCTACACTTTGGAAACTTCTGCTTTAAGTTACTGTAATATTTTTTTAACCTAAATGCATTGCAATATACAGTTATGCCTTGTACAATTATAAAACAAGTACACACTGTATTTTTTACAGTAGAAATTACAGAAATTGGTTCAAGGGGGAAGGAGCTCAAAGAGAAGTTTGGTGTGTCTTCACAACGACTTAGAATGGGAGCTAAGTTTTATAAAAATTCTAAGTTCTTAAAAGGCAGAAAAGTCTTCAAACAATGATCCAAAAATCAGGCAGAAGCAGCTGAATCCAGGTCCAACGTGATTTATTGCAAAATACAAAGAATTACACGAGTTGACCACCGGTGAGCAACTGAACAAATGTAGAAAATGGGCATCTTTTATACACTCTTGGGCTTGTGGGGCTCCTCCCCCAAGCCCCCTCCTTTCTTTACATCATTTCAGGTGTTTTTCTTCGGGTAAGTCCAATCATTTTTATCTTACCGGGGGAAAGTCCCTTTCAAAACATATTTTTTATATATTTAATTAAAAGCCTTTGTTACAGGTCATGGTGACATTTCTTTGCAAATCATGATGACATATATTGCCATTAAATCAAAAACACATCATAGTCTTAATCATTAATCTTTCAAAACAAAGTTTTCATCCAGTGACTTATGATTATTACATTTCTTTGAAAACGGTCAGCATAACCTTAAAACTCAAATCTTGGTATCACATCACTTGTATGTCGCTATTTACCTGCTTAGTACCATACAGTATTACTTTGGTTATGACAACTCATATACCACAATTAGTTTTAGCTGAGCTGTGCAACCTTGATATGACAAATAATTCATTTTTAATGAGTGTGCCTCTATCACTAAAAGGCCTCAACCCTGTAGCTCTGCAGCATCCCAATCTTGGATTCAACCCAATACCTGCATTTGACTGGATCCCAAACTTCAAAGGGCCAGGTGCAGAGTCATACACACACTGCTTCTCCTTTTCTCTCTTTGGCCTTGATAACATAAATGTATTTGTGAAAACAACTCTTTAAACATTTATAAAACATTAAATTCTATTTTATTCTAATCATTGGTGCAGATTAATACACTACAGGTGCAGACCAATGGTGAAGGAGAAGATAACTTCAGGTCTAAATACTAACTACAATACAGTAAAGCGTCTTCTTCAATATTTAAAAAAGAAATCAATATTTCTCTGGTGTTCAAGGGCCTATGTCATGCAAAACCAACCTTTTAGCTTCCAACTATCTAGTAATGTTATTCTTTCATCAAAATCATGGCCAAAGTGCTACTTTGCTTGATTTGTTTGGAGCTTCGTGGTAAATGCTCTGAATATTTAAGTTGATGTAATTTCTTAGTTTTTCATTTAAAAAAGTAGCCAAGTAGTAATATTAGTAGATGTGGAGAAATTGCTGCACTAAACAGACTGTTAATGGTTTGCTGCTAAAGAGTCAACACAAAAACCATAACATGAAACTGTTAGATCTGTAATATTAGCAATTTGCAATAAATACAATTTGATTGTTAAGAAAAAATAATCCAGTTTAAAAGCACCCTTTCAGTCTAAATAACTTCCTCTGGTCATGGTTCTCTAGCAGCCATTGGGTATAGGCACTCTCAAAAGGTCATCAGTCCATCAGGTGACAACACAAAGACCCACAGGAGCCACTGAATACTGTCCCAGTTCAGTCTTAAAAAAAAAAAAAAAACAGATTTATAACTGATCACTTATTGGTAAAAAGCTGTGCATCTAAGGAAGCCAGCTGGTTTCATCGAGTTCCATTCTTTCTATCAATACCATCTCGAACATTTGGCAACACTGGAAAAATAAAAACTCCTCAAAACCTCAGAAGAAGGCCTGGGAGAACTGAAGGAGGAGACACCTGACTGGTGTAAAGGAGGCGGAGCCCAGGGAGAAGCTCGGAAGTAACCTCCAAAGGTTTGCTCTGAGACCGCTGGCCTGACACCTCTGGGCATTGTAGCTGTGGCTACGATGTAGCTTAGCACCACCATCCTGTGATCAGACTATTTACCAGCAGCAGATTGTTGAGAACATGTCGCTACTAGCATTCATTTCACAGCATAGTTTCCATGTGCAGCTCAATTCTCCACCATAACAAAATCAAAATTAGATGTTAAATAAATAGAATCACTATTTAGGTATTGTTGTGTTAATCTCTCTGAAGTACATGGAACTGCATTTGAGGTTTGATTTTCTAACATTTCCTGAATAATTTGCCCTTTATTTTAGATGTTCCTTAATGTGCACCGTGGCAGCAATGACACTGAGGATCCCTTCATACCTGGAATGCTGTGCAAAGATGTTGTGAAGCTCTGTGAGGAGCCCTGTGAGACTGACTGTTGCCTGGCTGGGGAGTGGAGAGGCTCAGGTGATTTCATTAACAGTGCATCTGTTACAATGCAAAAAACTGTAAATGTAAATAAGTCATTTTTCTTAAAATGAGTGATTTATTGTTGAATCGAGGAGGTAAGTGGGACACTTTGCCAGTGGAAAAAAAAAAAACGAAAAAAAACAAAAAACTAATGCATTGTCTTATTTCCAGTGCATATTAAATTATTATTGTATTTTATTTTATCTTATTTACCTGCTCAAATTAAGGGTACATACACTTAAGACATATTTCTAGTTTGTTTTTTCAGTGCAGACACTAATAGACCATCGGTTTTATGTTTATTAAGGGTCTTTATCATGATGCAATATGCACAAAAAGACACTGGATTTAAAGTGAACAGCTCTATATTAAATAATGTCAACGAGTGATGACCTCCGACTATGGAAATCAGAGACATTCTGGTTGAGCTGTGATTTAAATAAGGTCTGTTATTGCAATTATGAAGGTGTCCATTAAAATCTAACCTTCAGCTATTTTTACCTAAAAGTCTGATCCAGAGTAAATGCTTTTGCTAAGCTAAAGAAGTAGAGGGCAGTCTGTTGGTTGTGAGATGAGAGAATGTTTCTAACTTCAGCGGTGAACTCCCTGCAGCATGAAGTGGTTTGGTCTAAGTCACATTTTTCCCTCTGAATTGTTTTCCCTTGATGAAGCCAAGTCCAGCTATTTTAGTAGCTGCCTGGTAAAGACCTATAGCTGTTTTCTGACCTTCCAAATCGTGTCATCAAGGAAGAGGAGCAGATGGTGGAGGTATTGCAGCGATGCAGGCAGCAGAAGGGGGAGGTGCGTTATTTCCTGCATCACCAGAGAGCTCCTGGACTAGGGACAGGTTGGAAACTATCACAGTTAGGGGCGATGCTTGGTGTTTGCTCCAATGATTATGATGGTCAGTGTCATGAAAGCTTATCTTGGTAAAACATCAGCATGTGACCACAGCGCTGCTTGGCTCTGCAGGGAAAAAGGCTGTTTGTTAAAAATCAGTCCCACTCAAAGGTTTTAAAGAGCAAGTCTAATCATTGCTAACCCCATCAAACTTTCCATTGCATTTACAGGGTAGAAATGTGCAACCAGAGACATGATGCATCAGAGAAGAATACAATATCCATCCATCCATCTTCTCCCGCTTAGTTCTTGTAAGGGTGGGGGTGACACACAACCACGCACAGACTCACACCTAAAGAAAATTTAGAGAAGCCAATAACAGTGATGTCTTTGGACTGTGGGAGGAAGCTGCAGTACCCAGAGAGAACCCCCGCATGCACAGGGAGAACATGCAAACTCCATGCAGAAACACTGGTGGGAAACGTTATACCCACTGCAGAATAAAATAATTATGCAATTTCTATTTTGATTGAAAAAACAAGAAGGATCTTTTTAGTTAAAAAAGATGGTAAAACACCAGGCTAAAGAAAAAGAAGGAAACACGGGGTAAGCTCAGCCTGCTTTTCCACAGCTTTTCCTACTCTGGCTGATTTACTTCAGGTCACTTCAGATGTCATCTAACTTGTGTCTAGTAATGCATGGTAACAGATTCCAAACAGCACTGACCCCCCCAGGAGGTCGCTCCAGCAGCTTACAGGAAATGACCAGCTTAAAATCAAGTGGACCGCTGAATGACAGGATATTTCATTCTCAGAAGATTGGGGATTATTATCACATTTCTGTCTATCAAACTCTACCATATCTCACCAGCGGTTGTTGGTAAATGATTCATTGAGAGAGTGATTCAGTGGCAAAGGAAAATAATTTTACAAATCATCTCCTTTATGTTCAGATGAGCCCAGAGCCACAGATCAGGGAGTGATGACTGAGAATGTGGAGACCTCTGTGGAAAGAAACAGGAAGACTGGGGTGAGTTTTTAACTTTAGAAACACTGAGATCACGTCACGCTGCAGAGGCTGTTTGATCAAAGCACAGGGAGGGAAACAGAATATAGAAAAGTAGCTCCTTTCTTTGTCTTGGCTTCATGTTGCAGTTCTCAGTTATTCCTCTGGATGCGTCGCTGAGTGAGCTGCAGGATCTGGCAACAAGGCAGCAGCAGCAGATTGATGCCCAGCAGCAGCTTTTGGCCTTCAAGGTAGCAAAACAAGCACTGAAGCACTCTGCATATGCAGTGTCTTATACAGCATATTCCTGCTAGTGTCATTAGTTTTTGAAATAGAACCTTTAAAAAAGGAAAAAAAACACACGATGTAATTTTAATTCCATATCAAATAGGTTTCGACCTTAGCTCTGTCATTCTCCACCACCTTTGGAGGGGGGTCCCATTCTGACTTTGGGGTCTCCAATTAGTATTCTGCACAGTTCACCAGAGGTGTCAAGTAACAAAGTACAAATACTTCTTTACTGTACTTAAGTATACTTTTTATGAATCTATACTTCTGTAGTATTTCTGACTTCTACTCATTACATTTTCACACAAGTATCTGTACTTTTTATTCCTTACATTTTTACATGTTACTCGTAACTCTTGGCTTTGGTTTAATGCAGAGGTCAGGGATTAGCAGACCATGGTCTGGATCCAGACCCACCTGCTGGCTAATCTGGACGCAACCTGATTTAAAACAATTATAAATTACCACGTTGTCTAAGAACAGTGTCTAAACGCCACTTGCGCCGCTTCTCCCGTTCCCCTGAAATCCCACATCCTCTACTCCTCCCCGCTGCCCTCCAGACCTCTTGCAAAGCAAAGCCTCCAGCCTCAGCTGTTCCTCCTGTTTTGCTGCTCTGACTTCCTCTGAGCTTTAGGAGAGCATGTGTGATATTATCATTAAATTTGTAGGAGCAAAACCTGCAGAAATTAACACTTAATTTAATGACACATTTAAAAAATCCCCATCAGCATCCAGTAGATGTACGGTTTCTGACGGAGATGAGTAGTACCAATAGTTTGCATCCAATCTTTTAAATAAAAGGTGTTAATTTTTTGTAATTCATAAGAATAATGCTCTAATCTGTACTTACCGATCTGTTGTAACTATATTTTAATCCGACAAACCGGATCTTCTCGCCGTTCTTTCTCCTGTTTGGTGCGATCGCAATAGAGGATCTTGACCTGAGCGGACCTGAGCGGAGCCTGAACATCTAGAGGATGTTTGGCTCAACCTGCTGCTGTGAAGCAGGATTCTCCACCATGAACAGAATCAACACTAAATCTGGATCCAGGCTCAAAATGAGCTCCTTGATATGTGCTTTAGAACGGCTTAGTCTCCATTCAAACCCAGGTTTAAAGCATTGCAGGGCAGCATAAAGCCCACTGCCAACATTAAGACAGAAAAAAGAAAACAAACAGGCAGTTCAGGGGTTTGATAAAATATGGGAATCAGGAAATTGTCTATATACTAAACTGAACGATTGTTGTTCTCTACTTCAAAGAACACATCATTTTCTATTCTTTTTATATTTTTTTATTTAACAACTCAAGGTCTCCAGACCTTTACTGGTTGATGATTTTCTTTATTCAGACCCGGCTGATTTTTAATTGGTTACCTCTGGTTAATGTTTATAAATATTTATTTAACATCATGTGCGCCATCCAATGCAGATCATTGGCTCCATCCACGCCATTGTTCGGACCACAAGCAGTAGAAGCAGCCAGTTAACATGTAAAGTAAATGGTTGACGCGCATCAAGGTGCGAGAAAAGGTCCCATTTAGTGACTGACTAATCAGCTTATTTTTCAAAGGCTCTAGTCCAAAGACTATAACTTCTTATTGTGTGCATTAAGGAGCAGAATCCTGTCTCTGCTTCACGTCAAATGTTCCAACAGTTTGTCAGCTGCAGTATTAAAGAATCATCTTAAGAAATCAGATCAGCATCTTGTTTTTCTCTGTTCAGATTATAAACCACTTTATAAGAGACAACCTGCATTAAAAAGAACAGTAAGGAGATGGACACAGGAAGCTGAAGAAGCCCTGCAAGGTTGTTTTGAGGCTACAGACTGGGATGCTCTGTGTCAGCCACATGGAGAGGACATCAAAGCAATGACTGAGTGAGACTGACTACATCAACTCCTGTGTAGAAAACACCATCCCTACCAGAACAGCTTCCCAGATAATAAAGCAAAGATAACCAATGAACTGAATCCATTCTTCAACAGGTTCAGTTCAGGAAGAAGCTCAGCATCTTTCTGTCCTGCCCACAGTCACATGGACATCCTGCCCTCCTCTGATATTCTCTCTCCTGCTATTAGTTTATCAGTCAGATCAGCAGGTGGTGCTGCTCCCTCCACCTTCCACCTGTCTGTCTCTAGAAGTCAGTAAAGAGGCAACAGGAGAGACTGAATGGTAATCAGTCAGCAGGTCCTGATGGTGTCAGAGTCCTGGAGGCCTGAGCAGAGCAGCTCTGTGGGATTCTACAGCTCCTCTTCCCCCTTAGTCTGACCCTGGAGACGGTTCCAGGGATGTGGAAGACCTCCCCCCTTGTTCCAGGACCAAACAAGACTCGGCCAGCAGTCCTCACTGACTATAGACTCGTTGCCATGACAACCCACATCATGACAGACCAATGCAGACACTCCTTGCTGCTTACAGCTATTAACATATTTAATAACTGGTTAACTAATACAAAATCTCTATGTGGGATAAACAATGAAGTTTGGAATAAAAAATCAAGACTTTGTGGCAGAAAAGTGACAAAGACATTTTCTGACTATTTGTAGGTGATTGGTATGAGAAAAGGACATTTACCTTTTAGTAATTGTGTTGAGAAGCAATGTTAAATGGCACTAGATTTGTGCAGCATGCCAATTCACTTTCCAGATCTGCTTTTTCACATGTCTGTTGTTCTAAAAAGTTTACCTCCAATCTCTGTGTGAAAGTGGCAGTGTAAGGGGCTCTTTTGGTCATATTTGCAGGAGCATCAGCTGCGTTACCGGAAGCAGCATGATCTGAAGCAGGACCAGGAAGCTTCTCAGCGAGAGCGACTGCTGCAGCTCCAAGAGCACATCAAAAACCAGGAGGCCAGACTGCTGCTGCTCTGGGCTCTCAGGAGCCAAGTGGAGCAGAAACGTGTTACAAACGCCAAATTAGGTCAGTGGGTTTTCACATTGTGCAACATTTCAGTATGAAATCTGATGACTGGGGATCATTCTTCTCTCATGACACAAATATGGCCTGTAATGAGAGAATTAACCACTTCTCATTCACTCATCAGTTCTTTTATGAAACAGCTTAACATTGTGTAGGATACGTAGACCTAATGTGTCAGTCACCTCACTACCTTCATGTTCACGTTATAAAACATTTCTGAAACTTTTACAGGTCGCCATAAATTACAGCTTTTAAATTACAGCTTATTCATGACGATAACGAAAAGTGAAAAAAGTGGTCGGTCACACGTCTAAAATGCATCATCACGCTGTAATCTGGTGAGCAGTATCAGTCGTGCTGCTGCGTCCTGTTTGATCCTGCCACCCACCTGCTGCACAGCATTGCACATTCTGCAGGAGCACAGATGGATCATGGCAGCACCGGCAGGGTCTGAGAAAATAAGCCGGAATGGTTCGTTCCTGCGTCCTGAACTTTGATAAACTCTGATGCTCCAGCTGTGCTTGCGCTGAAATGCGTTTTCGTGCCCAAAAAAACACAGTATCTTAGCTCAGAGTCTGCGCATAGGCTCCACTCTGATGGTTTGCCCTCAGCAGTATGGCTCTTTCTGCTCTTGCTACTTAATAAACTATATCATCCTCTGTCAAGCAAAAAAAAAAGCCTTTGTCTAAATATCGATTTTATTTCTTCCAGCTCACAAGAGGTGAAGCTAAAACTTTTAATTTCTACCAAATGGAATCCCTGAATTATATCCAAAGCAAATATTTCATTGCATTCTGTTCATCTTTGGATAAAGATCCAGATGAAAAGATGCATACTGTAGATCTTTGAATATTTCTTTCTAATTGTTTTTGTTTCTATTTGAATATGATACAAATGTTCTCTTTTGTCAAAACATTTTCTTCAAATCATTTTCTGAGTTTTCTTTAAATATTTCAACATTTTTGTTGGCATATTCATTCTATTTAGGTCTGGTTTGCCACTGCATTACACAGCAGTGATGTAGGTTCTCTCTGTATTTATTTAATATAAAAACCCTGTGAATTTAAATCTACTTTGACCCCTGAGCAGTAGTATCCGAGGGGTAAATTCTCAGAAATAAAGCCAAAACTGCCAAAGTAGAAAGCAGAATGTTTTTGTTCTTTGCTTTTTTTTTGGAGAAATTCAGATTTTATTGATTGTGTGTTATGAATAATTCATAGTAGATCAGGAAGAGTTTGCTTTGGGATGGAAACCTTGTTTGTCTAAAACTTCCTTTATTGGACGTTTTGTTAGCTTATCTGTGTGCTATATTAACCAATATGAACTAGATCCACTATTTTCACAGCTTTTGTGTGACACTTTTTTTTTTTTATAAAGTAGGGCATTAATTCATTAAAAAAGTTTATTTGAATTCTCTAAATCAATGTTTTCTGTCCAACAGCAATGATGATCTGCACGGCAGCATTCTATACCCAGCTACTGCAGCATCTAGGATAGAGCTGTCAGTCTGGGAAAGAATCTGGTTCTTATTCTAAGTTGTAAAGGTTCCCTGTCCCTGAAGTTCAACATAAAACTGACTAAAACTATCACATATCATAACGACTAAAATGCTACTAAAACTAATAATAGTTTTCATCTTGAAGACTAAGACTGAATCTAAGATGGCTGCTTTAAAAGTAGCACAAAAACAGATCTCAGAAAGAGGAATTTGTTTGCAGAGATGGTTTTTATTTTGTATTTTTTTCTGTGTACCAGTGGAGGAGATTGAGCAGACGACCAGCCTGATCCACCAGAAGCAAAATGAGTTGCAGTCAGCTGAAGACAAAGTGGAGGATCTGAGCAAGCAGCTGGAGGCTTTGAGGAATACTCATTTGGATTCAGCTATTCCTTCACATCCTTACAACTTTACCTCTGCTGCTGAGGTTAAAGGCTTAAACAAGGATTTGCAGGTCTCTCATTAAAACTAAACGTGTGCACGTGTTTCTCTTTATCAAAACTGTTGGATCTTATTCTTCAGTGATTCAGTATCTCGTTTTTCAGTGGAAAAAATGTTAAGAGTAGGGAGGAGGAGTTTAATTTCTTTCAGCCAAAGAGGATCTGGAGCAGAGAAGGTGAAGGAAACGGAGAGAGAGCTGGTTGTCACAGCTAAACTGAGCCCATTGCTACATCCATGAGAGAACCAGGACTAAACACTGAAGGAAGAGATGGTGTTACAGTCAGACAGGATCAGACCAGATGAAGCTAATATAAGGAGAAAAGAAGAGAGACACAGTTATGGGGAGGAACATTTCTTTGATTTTCTGCTGTGACTGTAAAAGTTTTTAACAAAGATTTATGAAGTGATGATTCAGACGATTTCAGTAACCAGATGGTTCATAACACAAATTACAAAGAAAGTTAAAAACCATTCCACTGGACTTTGTTTCCAAGTTTGAAGATGTTTCTCTTCCATCCAGGAAGCTTTTTCACTTCAAAATGTCAGAAATAGCGTTTAGTTCCAGGTTTTATCCAGCAGCCCAACAAAGCCTGGTTTTGGTTTAAAAAACATGCAAATAGAAACAGACGAACGGGTCCAACCATTTGGAATGGGGGTCATTTGGCTTCTTTGTTAGCCTGTAATGCCCCATACCTGTCTATGTCTCTGAAAGGGGGGGCATTAGGGGCAATTGTTGGCCTGGCTGAATAGGCGAGGTCTTCCGTAACCCTGTAAAAAGGGAAGGGGTTGCGATTTGAAAAAAGCTTCCTAGGTGGGAAGCGAAACATCTTCAAACTTTAGATTTTTTTTGGAATGATTATGACCTGAATGAGTGAGAACCTTCACCGGCATATTCGTATCACAAACTGAAATAACTTTCAAGTGCATGTCGAGTGTGTAATTAGCAGCAGGAACATGGTCCTAAGAATCCCTTTCATTTTAAAATGGTCAGACTGTTTGAATGATGCATGAGACGAGTGACCTAAACATGTTTCTGAAACAACCGCAGCACCTTAAAAGATTTGACCTGGTGAACCAAGCAGATACTTCTCATGTTCTTGATCTTAATGCTTCCTCGTCTCCAGCTGAGGAGCGAGCTTAACCAGGAACAGAGACTAAAGCTGCAGCAACAGAAAGACAGCCTGAGAAAAAGACATCTGGAAGTGGCTGCGATGGACCAGCGTCTGGCTGAGCTCCGAGACAGACTCACCAAAAAGAAGGCTACCTTGCAGCAGAAAGAAAGCCTGCCAGTGAGTTGGAAATAAACCAAAGTAGAACAAATATCCAAAACATTTCCATCATATGCTTGTTGCTTTGGTACAGCTCTTTGAAAGCATGCTTCCTCCAAGTTTATTTATTTAACTTTAGTAACAATTAGTAAAGATCATTTACATAAAGACTGCTATTTTAATCCATTTCATGCCTGTTAGCAGGGGAGGATTTAGGAAATTTGGGGCCCTAGGCAAATACAGGCAGGGGCCCCTCTGAATTGAGTAGACAATACATAGAACAGACCCTTTATACAGATAGAGAAATGTTAATAGAATAGACATCCATCATCTGTTCTAGGTTGTGTCCCTCTCTTCTTGTCTCTTTTCTTCTTGTTTTCCTCTCTATGTTTTGTACTCAGCTGACTTTTCATGCTGTCTCTAAAGGAATGAAAGATTTTTTCCAAGCACTAAGCTCACTTAGCTGATTGCTCCTTCCTGTGTTTCCAAAAAGGCCAAAGTAAATAACCCAGTCCTTCTTTTCACTGTAGACAAGCCATGATCTGCTTCTCTGTTCTCCATTTTTCATTTGGATGAGACACACTTAATAATATGAGCTTTCTGATGGATGGCATTTTAGCCAAAGGATTTTTTTTAATCAAAAACATAATTATTGTGCACACATAAGGAATAGTTGTATTATCCATACATGTAAATATAGTTTTTTGGGGCCCCCAGGAACATGGGGCCCTATGCAACTGCCTAGCATTGCCTGATGGTAAATCCCTGCTTCCTCCATCTTCTGTCAGGTGGCCTCAGAAAGCATCAACCCACAGCATGAGCTGAGCTCCAGAGTAGCAGCAGTGGGACCGTACATCAAGTCCGCTTCCAGGTCCAGCTCCCAGCATCCTGCTGGGCCTTCATCCAAGGAAGTGTTGGTAAAGTTTACATATCCAGATGGTACTGCTACCTTACCAGTATGTCTAAAGCCGCCACCGAGACCAGACGTCCCAGCTGTTGGTATGTGCTTTATTCTGCTGCTTTTATAACTTAGTGAGATATTTACTGACACCAGCAGTCAAGCTGAACTTCATTGTTTCTAGTTCCATCAAATCAAGAGAAGAGAAAGTTTAGTTTGTCTCCATAGTTTAGTATTATGATGTAAATATGAAGCTCAGAGTGAGTGTGGCAGTAGAGAGTAACAGCCATCAGGACAGAGATGTAGAGGTCATGAAATGTTCCAGGATGGAATGAAGGGACTGTTAGATGAACAGTTTATGATGCTGAGGGGGAAAGTATCTTTAAATAAAAGATTTAAATGTGAAGCATTCTTTGTAAGACTGGAGACACTGAAAGAAGACTTTCACATTTTTTCCAAAGATTCTTCCAGACCTGGCCAGTCCACAGAGAAGCAGCTCAAGGACGCCCAGGTATCACTGGACTCTTCTAAATGTCTCACTGCTATTAAAAAGAAGCCTTAAAATGGGGAGTTAGACGCTGCAAGGGCGTCTCAGGGTCAGATGTTTGCTTAGCTGTGTCACTACCCGAACCGTCCCAGAAGAACGATCCGTACCATCGCTCATTAGCACATGTGCAAACAGATATTAATCCAGGTCTCAATAAATATTGTAATTATGGTACTAAAAGTAGTTATTTCTATCCTTAATTAACTAAAGAATGCTAATACACATATTCAGAAAAAAAACGTTTATGACTGTCCTGAAACAATTTGATGGTTTTTACATTTTCGGTTTTAAACAGCTTGTCTGACGTCTTCATAGGACACGATAAGAGCGTATTTCTTTCAATTCCCATGTTTATAGATATTTATAGATGTTGGAGCCTGGCCTGTTTTTCAGTGTAGTCCTGTTTCTCTGACTGGGACTAACTGGATGTGTTCTCTCTTCATCCTCTGACATGGGAGCTGGCTCGGAGCTCGTCTGCCTGGCTGTGTTTTCTGTCACACTGGGTTGGAGTTTTGATAGGACTCAAATGCAGACACTGAAGCAGATGTGGTTTCTTGAACATTTAATAACAAAAAGGGTAACAGAAGCAAAAATCCTAAAACATAAATCCACAAAAATCCAAAACTACTGAAAACCAGAAATACTCACAAGAAGGGGGAAAAGAAATGACGACAAACCAGCAAAGAGTGACTGAACAAGAGGAGAATATATGGGAGAGAGAAAGAAAGGTGTGAACAGAGGAGCCTAGAAGGAAGCTAGGGAAAAGGGGACTGACACAAGAGGGCAAACTGGAGATACCTAAGAACTCAAATACAATAAAAAAAAATAGAACACAAAAATGGAAATAAGAGCAAAGAAAACTCAGAGATAAAACTTGACCAGAACCAAAACCTTGACATTTCCTGGAAGAGGCTGTCTGTGGAGCTGGTATATATCCGGTGATGAGCTGATGGGACGGATCGGGTCGTGACAAAGTTGATGGCAAAAAAATAAATAAATAAAAAATGGGGTCTAAATATGTTGAGCTGCTCAGGTTCAAGGTTCATTGTTGGATCGAGGCCTCATTGCAACACAGACATTTGTTCAGGGATGGCTACCAGCACTTACAGCTGTCCTTTAAAGCCTATAGATCAAACAATGTATTTAGATTTAAAAATGACTTGAAAATGTTCCACATTTGACTTAAACAGTTGCTTTGATTTGCAATTTTACAGAAAACATAGAATTTTTCTGTAACCCCTAAATATGACGGTTCCTTTGACACCAAAGCTGAGGAAACTACAAAACGGTAGAACATGTTTGCATGGACTGCCTGTTTAGAGGTCATCAGAGTAAAGCCGTGTGTTTTATTCTTACCTTCCTGTATGGATCTGAACTTACACTGGATTTCCCTGCTATTAATATTTGTGTTAACTTTTTGTTTGTTTGTTATATCCACAGCCATTTAGCAATGGCCCGTCCAAGTCGACTGTGCCGCCACCAGTACCCAGCAAACCTAAACCGTCCCCTGCTCCACCAACCTTCTCCAAGCCTGAGTTTTACACAGGGACCTTCCCTGGTAAAAAGAAACTGTATGGCAGTCAGCTGAAGGATACGTCGGTCCTGTCAAACAGCAGCCTTCCTCTCCATAGCAACAGGGGAAGTTCTCCCGCGGTCGCTGTGCGTCCATACACACCAGAACCCACAGATGGCCCTCCTCCTGAGTTACACAAACCGAAGACTCTGGCAGGTTCATCCATTTTCTGGATGTACACCCAGCAGGCAAGCCCTGGTAAAGCCCAACAGGCAAACGGCCAGGGAACACTGCCCAGCAGCAAGCCCAAAGGTGAAACTTCACAAAATTTATATTTATTTATTGGTGCTGTTGAATTATTATGCCAAAAAATATAATTTCAACAATCATTAAATCATCATTAAAAAATGACTGCATGGGGCGTCTGGGTGTCCTTGGTCCTGAAAAGGACATGAGCTTAATCTGGGAAGACACAGGCCCTCATGGGTCCACCCATCTTCATATTCCACTCATGGCTGTGATTAGGGTTGCCAACCGTCCTTTGAAAAACAAAATCGTTCTGTATTTAGAAATAGGAGTACCTGTCCCGTATTTAATGGAAAAGGAACACACTTTGTCCCGTATTTAAAAATATTGTCAGTAAAAAGCTAATTGAAAATAAAGAACAAGGGCACGTTAGATACAAAACTTACGGTAAACTTGTTCCTGGGCCGTGTCCTGCGTTATGACCAATGAGCACAACATATAGGTAACGATCCAGAATCCCCTCATCCTCACAATGATTTTTTTTATTTTTTGTTTTACAACTGTAGCCTGCAATCTTTGCATTTAAGGCACAAATATGTTTTCAAGTTTGCACAAGTTTGCTGTTGCACCAAAAATGTGCACGATTTATTTATTGTTGTATATTCATTTTTACACTTTGAAGTTCAGCAGGACAGATTTATGTCTAAGGTGCTTATTTTATTCAGCAAAGTTTGTTATTTGGTATTAAAATGAATTGCTGGATTAGAATTTGTTTTCTATGTGTTCATGTCACTCACAAATATCCATCTAGTTCAATGCAGATTTGAGTCAAATAGTTAAAAAAATGATTTCACACAAAAACGGGGGCTAAAAAAATCACCACACCAGGAGGGGTGATGGCATTCGGCTCAGCTGGCACGCACATGAGGCGTCCCTTTATCTTTTAGGGAGTTGGCAACCCTAGCTGTGAGGTACCACACCCAGTACTCATCAGTACGAAAGTTTGCTGCCATGCTAACATCGCCTTAAACACACACACAAATTATTTACCAGGAGTTAAACCTGAGGCCATTGATGTAAACACTCCTTAGCCTTGAGTTAAATCTCATGCTTAGCTAGGTCCTTCCTCTGATTGGTACACGCACTGTAATATTATGGTGAAACGCAGTATTACCCCATCTGCCTCTAATTACGGTAGCAGTAATGCTGCATTATCACCAGGTGCGTTCTGGAGGTCAAAATATTTAGTTTACGGGGTTACGGCATTGCGAGGTCCAGCGGCGCATCTGAGCATCAGCAGAGGCACATTTGAGCGTTTGACAGTAAATTGAACTTTTGCCGCTGCATGCCGGAGCGTCAACCAATTAGAAAAGCTGCTGCGAACGTCAGCAGGAAATCCCCCTCAGGCTGACCTTAGCAGAGAGCTTTCAGTGGGGATTCCCAGCGCTGCCTCCCGGCAGAATGCTGGAGGTCTGGAGCTCCCAAGAAGAACTGCAGATTTAAGTGTTATTATAATCCTGATGAACTGATGAACAGAAGGTGTTTGGAGGTGGACTTGCTCACTTAAAAACTATTTTTCCAACTCATAAAGTAAATAAAGCCAAGCTGCTCTCTAGCTTGAAGCTACAGAACAGAGCAGATAAACAACCAGAGCGTCAGAGCATCTGGACCAGTTTGATCAGATTTATGCATTCGCGTAGAACACCTTTGGTGTCAATTCAGCATTAAGCTGGAAGTGCTGTGGCTTTGCAGTTTACTGCAGTTAGTCCATGTATAGGTTAATCTGGACTATAAGGAGAAAATGAAAAGCTTTTAAGAGCATTTTAAAATGTGGGAAATACATTAATAGACATATTGTTTAAATGTATTATTCAAAATGAGGGTCCAGGTGCATGAATGTTATGCTCCTTATTGGAAGCTCTAAGAGATGATGGGTGAAATTAGAAACTCTGAATGAAGGTAAGTTCTTTGGGATCAGTGTTTCTGAATTTAAACTAAACTCTATTAGAATTCATCTTGTTGAGAAACGCATTTCCAGAATCACACTGTTCCTGAAGGATTGGAGTTTGACATCTGTGAATTAAATGATTACATCCTTATTTAAAGAAGATCAGGTTTTTAATAGACTGATTCAAATGTCTCTCCTCTGTATTTCCTCCCATGCAGCGTATGGTAAACCTGTCCCTCCTGCTGAGGGGAAGCAGCAGAGGGTCAGCTCAGGCACATCTGGGCTCTCTGACTTTAATGAGGGCGAGGCCGATGACAGCTTATCTGCTGCCACTGATGACAAAGCTGTCGAGGCTGAAACTCCTCGTCCTCTCAGTCCCTCCAAGCTCCTCCCCTTTGTGTCCGACCCTCATAGGAACTCTGATGTTGATTCGGAGGGATTCCGCCGCCGACTGCAGCACGCCCCCCGCCCCTTAAAAAAACGCAGCTCTGTTGTGGAGCCTGAAGGCCCCATTGGACCTAACATCCAGAAGCTTCTATACCAGAAGACAACTCTGGCTGCCATGGAAGCCATCCCTATGGAGACTATCAGTGCACCAGGGGAGAATGGTCCGGTCATAAATCCTGACAGCAGGATTGTCAGGAACGATGTCACTTCTAGGGTCAAAGAAAAAAGCTTAGCTGGCATAAAGCCCAGCGACGGTCTGACATCACCTCCACTGGCCCCCCTTCCCGCCTTCCCTGAGCCCAGCTATTCCCATTCCCAAGACATGGAAGAAGAGGAAAATATGCCATGCACCTTAAATAAAGATAGCTTCCCTCATCCCAGCTGTGGGGAGAAAGAAAAGGCAGATGGTGTCCTTAGCTCTGAGCAACCAATACCCCAAAGTACAGACCCACCTGTAAGTAGCAGCTTCAAGTTTGTTTTAGTTTCCAGAAAAAAGATGTTAAAGACATAAGAATTTCTAAAAGTAGAATGGGAGGTAGATCTTTTAGTTATCAGGCTCCTCTCCAGTGGAACCAACTACCAGTTTTAGTCCGTGAGGCAGACACCCTGTCTACTTTTAAGGCTAGGCTTAAAACTTTCCTTTTTGATAAAGCTTATAGTTAGAGTGGCTCAGGTTATCCTGAGCTATCTCTATAGTTATGCTGCTATAGGCTTAGACTGCTGGAGGACATAGGGACCCCTTTTTCATCATTCTGCTTCATTCTATCTCTATTCTCCCACTCTGCAGAATCTGTTAGTTCAATCTCTAACGTTCTGCTCTCTCTGCTTTTTCTCATAGTAGCTTCATCTGGTCTGTTCCTGTTTGGCTGTGACTCCATCCTGGAGAGAAATATCAGCTGTGCTGCTGCCATCAACACCTTTGTTTCTAGATGCTGGAGATCGGCCTGTTTTCCAGTGTAGTCCTGTTTCTCTGACTGTGACTAACTGGATGTGCTCTCTTCATCCTCTGACATGGGAGCTGGCTCGGAGCTCGTCTGCCTGGCTGTGTGTTTCCTGGACGGGGCCGCCTGTGGAGCTGGTTGACAGTTGCCTTTTGTATTTATGCTGCTTTTTGTATCTCTGCTTCTGTCTCCTTGAACCCCAGTCGGCCTCAGCAGATGGCCGCTCACACTGAGCCTGGTTCTGCTGGAGGTTTCTTCTTGTTCAAAGGGAGTTTTTCCTCTCCACTGTTGCTGCCAGCATGCTTAGTGTGAGGGATTGCTGAAGAGTCAATGAGTCGATGTAATTAACTGGTTTTCCTTAGATAGAATTTGAATCAATCTGACTGGATGATCTGTTGAACTGTAAAGTGCCTTGAGATGACATGTGTTGTGAATTGGTGCTATAGAAATAAAATGAATAGAATTAAATGAATCACGTAAGATTAGTCAAATAAGGTCTGATATGTCATCAGTCTAATATGGTTGTGGTAGTGAGACAGTAGTTGAGTAAAACCTGATTACATAACTATGTTCAGGAAAGAAACAGGACTAAATACTAAAAATAAAGGAAGTTGTTGACGGTGGCAGCCCAGCTGATGCCTGTTTTCAGGATAGTGTTACATAATGTTACAAGGTTTTCAATGTTCTGGACCATTTAGACACAAAGAATAGCTGTTCACATAGTTTACGTTTCTACACTAAACACATCCGTTATTAGAGTTTGGTCACCATCTTTCAGGGTAAACAGTCTATCCTGCATAAGCCTGGAGCAGCCTGGATAGACCGTGGGAAGCATGTCCAGTTCAGCCCTCTGGCCCTGCTGCTGGATTCTGCTCTTGAGGGGGAATTTGACCTGGTCCAGAGAGTCATCTATGAGGTACGTTACTGTCCTGTCCAGAGCCCTAGGTTCCACCCATTGACAGACAGACAGACAGACAGACAGACAGACAGACAGACAGACAGACAGACAGACAGACAGAGAAACACAGAGACGGACAGACAGACAGACAGACAGACAGACAGACATTACAGATAGCTGTTTTCCATGCAGGTGGATGATGCCAGCAGGCCTAATGATGAAGGAATCACAGCGTTGCATAATGCTGTGTGCGCCGGACACTTTGAGATCGTTAAGTTTTTGGTCCAATTTGGTGTCAACGTCAATGCTGCCGACAGCGATGGCTGGTGAGTCCCATCTTTAGCGGTGAGCATTACCATGGTGGTCATTTGATGGCGTTGACTTTAAGCTAAGATCTTCTGATTTAAAACAGTCTTTTCCACTTTTAGGACTCCTCTGCATTGTGCTGCTTCTTGCAACAGTTTCCAGATTTGTAGGTTTCTGGTGGAATCTGGGGCGGCTGTGTTTGCAGCCACATACAGTGACATGCAGACTGCAGCTGACAAGTGTGAGGAGATGGAGGAGGGCTATGCACAGTGCTCCAAGTTCCTTTATGGTAGGATGTCTCACCTACACTGAATAAAATATCATCACATGTTTTTATTGCTTCAGCTTTAAATAAGCTACATGGCCACAGCCTTAGGCTCCTTTACCTAAAATATGAATCCTTATCAGCAGAGGATTGATGAATGAACTATGAGTCTAGTATCCCATCCCTGTCTGTGCAGGCGTCCAGGAGAAGATGGGAGTGATGAACCGTGGGGTGGTGTACGCCCTGTGGAGCTATGAGCCTCAGCATCACGACGAGCTGGGCTTCAGTGAAGGAGACTGCCTGACGGTGCTGAGCCAGGAGGAGGAGAGGGAGTGGTGGTGGGCCCGATGTGGAGACCACGAAGGATTCATTCCCCGCAACCTTCTCGGGGTGAGCTTAGCTTATAGAAAGGAGGAGTTTGTGACTTACATGGGGAACCCTGAGGAGCCTGCTTGTTAAAGTGATAAACTCCATCCATCAGCACATCAGTTTAACTGCAGTTCATCAGATTTTACTTCACTGAAACTAACATTTAGATTAGGTTAGATTCAACTTTATTGCCATTACACCGGTACAAGGCAACAAAATGCAGTTTAGGTCTAACCAGAAGTGCAACAGCAGCAAGTGCAGGATGTACAATGCTACTATTATTAAATAAAACAGCAGCTTTCCAAATTAAAGTGCAGTGGAAGGTAATTGCAGTTATAGTACGGTATTGCAAATGTATATGTAAACAATTGTTACAGTAAATAAACAATCGGCAGTGCAAATCAATATTCCAGTCAAGGTAAGTGCATTTAAACAGTTTCTATAATAGAAGTCAGCAGAGCAAGTGAACGTTATAGTATAGAAAATAACAGAATGGAGGCAGGTGTGAAGAGGGAGAGTCTATCATTAGGGTTCAATAAAGAGCCAGCTCTGGTCTGCTGGTCCTGGTCCAGAGGAGTCAGTAGGCTGGGTGGGACTTAATGATGCTGCAAGCTAGATGTAGGCAGCGTTTCCTCCTTACTGAACAGAAACATTTTCATGATGGTAACTGTGAATAATCTTCCTGTAGTTGTGTTTGGTTGGGATCATTTATTCTGGGTTTATTATAATAATGAAAACATTTAAAACCCAAACTGGCTGAACTCCAGATTTCCACAGTTTTCCAAAAGAAGGAACTTAAAATAGTTTTTTTTAGAAGCTTTACACTAAACTGTGATGACATTTTTTTCTTTCTCAGTACTGTGATTTTAGGTAGATTGTGTTGAAATGTTTCCCCTTCCTTTAGTTTTGTACCAAAAATAAACTGAACTACCTCAACAGGATTGGTTCCCTTTAGTCTTGTACAAAAAACAAAACAAGAAAACAATCTAATGTCTTTCTTTTGGTGTTTTTTGATACTGTTGGCGATCTGACATTTTTTTAAAGTCTTTTTTTTGTACAAAACTAAAGGGATAAACGCAAACCTGACATCTTGCGCATGCTTATTGACTATTGGTATGCTGGTCTGATGGGGTATGCTCATCTGACAGAACACCAGTTCTACTTCCTCACAGATTCAGAGTATTAGGATTAAAAAAATAAAAAGAAATTGAAATCTAAATAAGTAATTTTTTTATAAAAACAGGTGCATTTTTTCTTGAAATGAGGAGGTAAGTGGGACACTTAGACTTACATTTAACATAAGAGAAAAAAATTGCATTATCTTATTTTAAGAGTAAAATGATTAATTCCATTGGCAAATCAACTTATTTACCTGCTCAAATTAAGGGGAAATACACGTAAGACTTTTTTATTCTTCACTAGATCGTTTTTTCAGTGTAGAAACTCTTTGAGAGGAAACAAAAGTGGTGGTGTTTTAACTTCTCTCCATCGTTGCATTGTCACAGCGCTACCATAAGGCCCAGCATAGGTACCGCAGCATCTTCAGCACCGCTTGCTGTTTGCGTCACGGTTGGTTGGAGGATTTTGAGGACCCAAAGGCAGAGATCAAGAGGCAGGGTTGAGTCTTGCACATTTAATAGGCAACCGAGGCAGAAATACAAAAACACTGAGAACATAAATGTCAGGGAGAACTCACGTGGGAAACCAGAGATGAGGAAACAACAAAACAAAAAGCCGTCACTGAGTGACTGCAGAGGTGGTGTGCATATGGGAGACTGAACCAAGGCGGGCTAATCAGCCGATTAGGAGCAGGTGTGGGCAGGACCAACTAGGAGGAAGCCAAGGGGAAAGGAAACAAGCACAAGGGGAAATAAACTAACAAAGATACCGAACACAAATAAACTTAAAAATAAACCCAAGCAGAGGGCAGAACCATGACATTATGATTTAAAGGAAAAGTCCGGTCAGCAGGAAATAATCAATGGATCATTATCTCTATCTAAAACTAATACGTTCGCAGTGATTTAATGAATTTAGCATTAATCAGTAAAAGAAATAAAAACAATAATTGTATTCACGATCACTTAGTCCAGGAGCGGCCATTTTTGCCCAAATATAGTAACCCCTCCCTCCTGCCATCTTCCAGCAGTGACGTCACGGTGCGGTAAGCCTAGCGCCATTCTCCCCGCTTTCCAAGCTAAATCAATGGGAACTACTAGACACATCTGCAATCAACAACAATTATTGAAGATTTCCAGAGGACTTCACCATTGAAATTCACCAGAGCTATAGTGAAACTGACAATGCCCACGTGCATGGCAGCTGGATGCTGGAATACATCGGGTAAAAGTGAAAAAAAGAGTTATTCCACCTTTCTGATTCCTGATCCTCCACGGACGGGTTGGTCGTTGGATCGCCAACTTGAAGAGGGAGGATTTGCCATCGAACTTCTGGCCAGAGAAAAAACCCGTAATATGTAGCCAACATTTGGAAGAAGAATGTTTTCAAGATGACTTGGATAATAGCGCGTTGTGACAAACACCAGATACAGCACTGGGACTTGATCAACAGCCGATACCGCACCGTGACGTCACTAACCAGTAGGTGGCAGTAGTGTTCTTTGACAAACATAGATGCCTCCAGTAAAGCACATTCACATGAAAATTACTCTGAATTAGAAACACTGATCATTTATTGAACAGGATGGAATCATTTCATATTTAAAGGACTTTCAGGAGTGAATTCTGAATATGAGCCGACTTCTCCTTTAATAAAGACACGGAACACAGAGAGGACAGTCTGGGTTAACCCGGGTCGGTCTGTGTCCTTCCTGTCCTTCCCAGGTCTTCTTGATTTAAAGACGTCCGCTCTATGAACTCTAATATTTTTTTTAATATTTTGTTCTCTTTTTCTCATAGCTCTATCCGAGGATCAAGCCCCGGCAGCGGAGCCTGGCCTAACCGGGATATTCATAACGTGTTGATGAGCAGAAACAGCAGACAGCCTCAACAGACAAGGACCTGAGGAAAGGAGAGCTTCCTGGTTCCCACAGATCAAAGCACTGCTGTCCATCAGCAGCAGAACTAGATGGACAGACATGACATCAGCCTCTACTTTCATTGCTTCACTGAGGTGTGGAAGAAGGATGGAGACCAGGGTGATGATTTTTGGACTGTTTTTCTCAAAAATGATTTCCTGTAGCACGAATTGATAAACTTTTGCCTCTTAATGAGTAACATTATGTTTATTCCACTGAGACATTGAAAAGGGTCACGCACAAACCACAAAAAAAATCACTATTACTGTCAGTGGGACTAAATTTGTTAAGCCTAAGAAAGAATTAACAAACAGTACCAATACACTAACGATACCTGAAACACTTCTAACTTGTCCTTGTGGGCAGCTGTGATTGTTTAAAATGATAAGAGTATGAAATGATTGTTCTGCGCTGAAGATTTGGATGAAATATCTGCAGTTCGGCATGAAAACCCAAAATGCTTGACAATCCACTGGAAACAGTCGAATCTCCAATCAACGTTGCCAGCAGCAGCTGCTGCGAACGTGCGATCAAAGTTAGGCGAGTCCTGCCCAAACAAGGACGACCTCCCACTGAGACTCATCCTGTCCGATGACATCAGCATTGCCAATTCACGTGCTTCTGGTTTCCTAACCCTATTTAATGTTATACGTGTGACTCTTAAGCTTGTGTTCAATTTTGACTCTTCTTCCAGTGACTTTAAAAACTGGCCAAAAAAGATCATTAAACATTTTTATATAATTTTTTTTTTTTATCAAATCACCTTAAAAGTAAGATTTTATGTAATCTTTAATAAAGGTTAATCAAATTAGGACACAGGGATATGAGGTTGTAAAAGTCCTCCCACTAATGTAGACGGAAGCAGATGGGGATGCTGTTCAGCACATGTCCACTAATGCTGGAGCTGATCGTTACGACATGTTGTTGTTTTCTCTAAACTCTGTTTGCTTCATCAGTTTCCTGGTTTCTATGCAGTCTGAGATCCTCCTGCTTTAAATGCAGACTGAGGCGTAATGCAGAGAAATAAAGGCTCATTCTGAGCTTCCTGCTGGTTTCTGAGCTCCACCTTGATGTTTGAATGCGACACAAACAGATTCCTGCAGCAGTTTCATTCTGTCCACAGCTGTTCATCCATGCAGGGTTGATGCTCTGGAAAGGTCACAGACGTCAGAAAACATGATCTCCATAGAAACATCTTTCAGGAAGGAGGAAGGAAAGAAGAATCAGAAATTCTCAGCATTTAAAATGTTTTTATTTCAATGCTTGAAGGACAGAGAGAAGGAAAAGCTGTAAGGCTCTCTGCTGACCAGCAGTACCGGCCCTGCCGCGGTACTGTGGGTCAGCAGAGAGGAGTCGGCTGGATCTCTATTCCAACACGGACAAAAGCCTTGAAGGACATTCAACAGCAGCTTCACACAAAGTCCAGGAAAAAAGCCAAAGCTTCAGGTTTCCCCAAACAGCTGAGATGTTCTGAGGAACGGAACCAGAACAGGTTCCATTGTGCGGGGATCCATATCAGAAGAAACCGTCTGAATCTTCCTCACAGTTGGTTTGAAAAAGGCTCATGAAGGACCTGAAGCTGGATCCACAACATCTGAGGAGGTTCTGGGAGCAGAAGCTGTTTCCTCCAGCAGGAACAGCTGCTGAGCTGGTATCTTCAGGCAGAACCATGGGTCCATTCTGGGCACCATCACAACCAACAAGCCTCCCTGCTAGTTGTTTCTTTATTTCAAGTCGGACTCCTCTTCTGCGCTCGTTCTGGATCAATATGTCACCTCCTGTCAGAGCAGCATACCCATAGTGAATACCCGTTCATCCCTTTACATTTTTGTACAAAAAAAGACACTTTAAACTACCTCAATGGGCGTGTATTCCTTTAGTCATGTGAAAAAAACTATTTCATTACTTACTTTTTGGTGTGTTTTGAAGCGTATGGCGATCTGACCTTAAAATGTTTTTTTTGTACGTGACTAAAGGGATGCACGCCCGCTGAGGTAGTTTAAAGTGTATTTTTCCTACAAAACTAAAGGGTTAAATGCAAATGTGACGTCTTGCTCCTGCGTATTGACTGTAGGTATGCTGGTCTGACTATCTGGTGTAGACAGACCCTCTCAGCTCTGGATGATGATGTCATGATTCTCTTTCCTTCCTAAGAAACAGTTTTCAGCTGAACTCCTGGTCTTTACCCTTAAGCATCACCTCCCCTCACATGGCCCCCAGTGGCCCCTAGAGGACCCAACCTTAGCTTCCTCCTTTAGCTTCTTTCAATCAGAAAGTCTGTTTTCTTGGAATATTTTGCTGCCACACAAACAGACAGTGAAGGGAGCTAGCGTAGCACAGCATCAGTCTGGTGAGACAGGATGATGAGCAGAGATGGGAGGAAGGATCAGTTAGGAGGAGCAGATCCACATGGATGCTCTGGATCGGTTCTGGTGCCATCCTCCTCCCAGCACTGCTCTGGGTTTCATCATCCTTTCCTTGTGGTTTCTGTGTGAGCGGTCAGACGTCTGAAGGGGTGCGTTCACAACACTGATGACCAGCAGACGGTGCGCCATGGGGGTGGGGGGGGTTGTTTAGGGAGGGCAGGGGGCATCCATGTGGCAGCAGATAACAGCACCTGAGCCAATGAACGGGCTCTAATAATCCTGCAGGTTCTGATCCCGGCTCAGATTCTGGTCATGGGGCAGCAGGCTTGTCACATGACCAATGCCCTTGGTGACGCCCTCTCTGAACAGCAGCTTGGCACCCAGGCGCAGATACTCTGGGTGCTTGATGAAGCGAAAGCAGACGACGGCCCTTTCTCCAGTCCGAAGCTCCTCCTGCAAGCAGCAGTGAAGGGGTTAAACCTCCCTTCCTCAATGACAAACCAAACACGACGGACTCACCGACCTTTCCATGAAGGCGCTCCACCGTAGCCGTCTGCCGGACGTTACCCACGTGGACCGTGACCTGCGAGCCGCGCCGGAAGGTATTTGCGTGGAAGAGCAGAACGATGGCGGCTTCAAACTGGCGGCAGATAGTGGGGTTCATCCTGGGGCTGACCATCACCATGCCCTGAAACCAAGCATTTCATTCACAGTAACAGAAGCGCAGCAGACCTGCAGCTCAGCTCCCCTCCGGCTTAAAGGAAAAGTCCGCTCAGCAGGGAATAAACAATGGATCATTATCTCTACCTCAAACTTATACGTTTGCAGTGATTTAATGAATTTAGTGTTAATATGTAAAAATATTAAAATAATAATCTTTGTCTCAATCACTGAGTCTGTGAGCGGCCATTTTTGCCCAAATATAGTAGCCCCTCCCTCCTGCCATCTTCCAGCAGTGACGTCACGGTGCGGTAAGCCTAGCGCCATTCTCCCCGCTTTACAAGCTAAATCAATGGGAACTACTAGACACATCTGCAATCAACAACAATTATTGAAGATTTCCAGAGGACTTCACCATTGAAATTCACCAGAGCTATAGTGAAACTGACAATGCCCACGTGCATGGCAGCTGGATGCTGGAATAAGAGGGAGGATTTGCCATCGAACTTCTGGCCAGAGAAAAAACCCGTAATATGTAGCCAACATTTGGAAGAAGAATGTTTTCAAGATGACTTGGATAATAGCGCGTTGTGACAAACACCAGATACAGCACTGGGACTTGATCAACAGCCGATACCGCACCGTGACGTCACAAACCAGTAGGTGGCAGTAGTGTTGCCTCCAGTAAAGGACATTCACATGAAAATGACTCTGAATTAGAAACACTGATCATTTATTGAACAGGATGGAATCATTTCTTATTTAAAGGACTTTCAGTAGTTTGAGTTCTGAATATGAGCGACTTTTCCCTTAAGGCAGACCTGGATGGCTGCATTTAGGACGACAGCCTGACTCTACCAAAACAATGTCCTCTGGAGGCTCCTACTGATCTAATAAAACTTTATCTTTATAAATCCTTTTAATGAACCAGAGGGAGAAAGGGTCCAGCTGATGCATGTTGCTTTGATTAAAGGGGTCATAGAATGATTCTATCCGGTTTTGGTGTTGCTCCTTAAAGGGGAGCACCGTTTTTTTAAGCATTGGCTCCTTGATTTTCCTTTATTCCATCATGTTCTACTCTCCCATATTAGTTTAGTGTCATTTGGCTGTTCTGAAGATATTCCGTTAGGTTATATCCAGTAACGTCTTCCTATGGGCAACGACTTGAAGGCACAAACTAAACTGTTCATCATTTATTCTTTATGGTACGCCAGCATTTATTACATGGAGGCCAATCACTGTCCGCCAGACATCCGCGGTTATATTTTTTTATATTAATATTTTTTTTAAACAAAGCGGAGTGTGTATGACGTCATCCACGCGCGCCAGCTACCGTTCATTCATCCTGTCCACTGAACTGCTGCTAGTTTTCCTCACATGCCTGGAAGATGTCTAGTGCTGCTGCCACAGATGATCTCGCTCTCCAAATGGAATTGAACGATTCAGATTAGCTAGAATGAATAGAAGGGGTAGAGCGTAGCAGCCTGTGGCCCGGGCTGCCTGTCACAATGACCTCATCCACGCTCTGCTTTGTTTTAAAAAAATATCAATATAAAATATATAACCGCGGTTAAATGATGAACAGTTTAGTTTGTGCCTTCAAGTCGTTGCCCAAAGGAAGACGTTACTTGAAATATCTTCAGAATGGCTCCAAATGACACAAAACTCATATGGGTGAGTAGAACATGATGGAATAATGTAAAATAAGAGCCTAATGTAAAAAAATGGTCTTCCCCTTTAAGGTCTCTGAATGGGTGTGTAACATGGGTTGGGCCTAAAATGGCATATTTGCTGTTCTATGAGCCCTAATGCAAGTTTGGTTAAAAACCCTGCATGAAACAACAGCTTTTCTTCCTTATATGATCATGAATATTTAGATGAGCTGTGCGCTGATTGGTTGGTTTACAGCGGCCGCTCCATTCCCGGCCGGCTCCGGACCCGGACCAGCCCCGGAGCTGATGGGTCTGTTCGAATGGCCGGTCCGGTCCATTCAGCTGTCGGAGCCCCTCGTTTCAGTAAAAGAAGTTTAGCAATTTCAGCTTTGAACTGTCCAAGATTTAGAAAGCTGTCTTTGGTAAAATGCTGAGAGCAAATGAACAGCTGAGCAGCAAACTTTGCAGGGAGCCTCTAATAAACAAAAAAATGTTCCCCTTTCTCCGTGCAGCCTAGAAAACTGCATTTACCCCAGTGGTTCTGCCTCCTTTCCAATAGAGAAACTGCCTGCTTTGTAATCATTGTAGAAGTAAACCCAACTGCAGACTAAACAGCTAAACTTCTTCCATCTACCTCTATTCATGTTCTTGGGCCGTGAACCAGCGGGCTGGTCTGGATGTCAATTACAGGGCATGACAAAACTACAGGCCTGAACCAAATAAGGCAACATCCCTGAGTTATGTCAATTTTGGGCTTCATTTGGATTCACCCGTTTTATTGTGGAAGTTTAGAATTGTGAGAGTTGCAAAGAAAGGAGGTGTGATGGGTTTGAACTTCTCTGTACGTCCATTTCACCCACTGAACTATTGTTATTCATCTATGACAGTGGAAACTCAGTTTTGCATTCTATGACCCCTTTAAACGCAGGAACAGTCCAGAGTCTGCAGCAGATCAACAACTCAATGGAAGGTGACCTCTGACCTTGCGTAACAGTGAGCGGTCAAAGTTGCCCAGAGCCAGAGTGGCTGCCTGCCCGGCCTTCAACACCCTGCAGGCCGAGCGGTTCCTGTGGATGCTGCCCACTTTCAGACGCAGGAAGCGGCCCTCCTCTGTGGGACCAACAACCAGCCGCTCGCCCTCCCTGCACACTCCGCTGGCAAAACAATCCAGAAGGGCCGACTCAGACTCAGCACATTTATTCTGAGGCTTCTAATGAAGTGGACTGGATGAAACCTGGATCTGAACGGACGCATCAGACAAGAACAAGAAGCATGTGCATCGGCGTTAAGCCTCGAGGCGTCTCACCTGTACAGAGTTCCTCCCACAACCGTCCCAACGTCGGGAACCGAGTAGATCTCATCCACCTGCAGACACAAAGGCATGATGGGACATCTGGAGCAGGAAGCAGGCCATCGCTCAGCAATGCAGCTAAAGCTAACCTTGTTTTAAAAAGCAATACTTCTCCTATCCTGGCTTCTCTTCATTGGCTTCCTGTTAAATCCAGAATAGAATTTAAAATCCTCCTTCTCACATATAAAGCCTTAAATGGCCAAGCTCCATCTGATATCAGAGATCTGATTGTTCCTTATGTTCCTAACAGAGCACTTCGCTCTCAATCTGCAGGTTTACTAGTGGTTCCTAGAATTTCTAAAAGTAGAATGGGAGGCAGATCTTTTAGTTATCAGGCTCCTCTCCTGTGGAACCAACTACCAGTTTTAGTCCGTGAGGCAGACACCCTGTCTACTTTTAAGGCTAGGCTTAAAACTTTCCTTTTTGATAAAGCTTATAGTTAGAGTGGCTCAGGTTATCCTGAGCTATCTCTATAGTTATGCTGCTATAGGCTTAGACTGCTGGAGGACATAGGGACCCCTTTTTCATCATTCTGCTTCATTCTATCTCTATTCTCCCACTCTGCAGAATCTGTTAGTTCAATCTCTAACGTTCTGCTCTCTCTGCTTTTTCTCATCGTAGCTTCATCTGGTCTGTTCCTGTTTGGCTGTGACTCCATCCTGGAGAGAAATATCAGCTGTGCTGCTGCCATCAACACCTTTGTTTATAGATATTAGAGCTTGGCCTGTTTTCCAGTGTAGTCCTGTTTCTCTGACTGTGACTAACTGGATGTGCTCTCTTCATCCTCTGACATGGGAGCTGGCTCGGAGCTCGTCTGCCTGGCTGTGTGTTTCCTGGACGGGGCCGCCTGTGGAGCTGGTTGACAGTTGCCTTTTGTATCTATGCTTCTTTTTCTATGTCTGCTTCTGTCTCCTTGAACCCCAGTGGGCCTCAGCAGATGGCCGCTCACACTGAGCCTGGTTCTGCTGGAGGTTTCTTCCTGTTAAAAGGGAGTTTTTTCTCTCCACTGTCACAAGCATGCTTAGTGTGAGGGATTGCTGAAGAGTCAATGAGTCGATGCAATCAGCTGGTTTTCCTTGGATAGAAAACTTTGAATCAATCTGACTGGATGATCTGGTTCAACTGTAAAGTGCCTTGAGATGATATGTTGTGAATTTCGCGCTATATAAATAAACTGAATTGAATCCAGTCAGGCCTTTATTTCTACTCATGGTGATGTTTTTGGCTTACGGTTAATAAACAACCTTCTGGGTCTCAAGTGGTTAGATATGACATGAGCTCAATGAAAGAGACTCGGCATGAAGGAGCCCAGAGCAACTTTTTCAGGGCCAACAGGTTGCTCTGAGAGCAGCCATCTTTGTTGGTTCAGAGAACACCATTGGTATTGGACCAGCGGATTAGCGGAAGCAGTAAAAGCTCTAAAATGTTCTGGTAATCCTAGTAGACCAGAGCCATAAAAGGCAGAACCATCACTGACAGGAAACTTCATGCTGGATTTTAAGCAAACTTGATTCTTTTTCTCTCCACTTTTCATCCAGACCTTCATTTCCAAACAGAACAGAACCATGTGAAATGGTTCTGATGTTGTCTCTGGTTCAGGAGCTCATCTGCTGTGACCGCAGCCTCCTCCAAGAACATGTTTCCCCTCCACTTAACTTTCTGAATATGGGTTAAACTTGATGATATCGGTGCTGTGTTTCCCTCTGCCCGGTGAATCTATGCTGGATGAGTCACAGCAGTTTAAAGTGTTGTGACCTGGTCTCCATGTTGTGTGAGTGCTGTAGACCTGGAACTCAGGAAGCTGCTGCATCAGGTCCTCCTGTTCTTTGCTGTTGCTCAGTGGAGGAAGGATGTTGAGGAAAACTTTCAGGAGGTCCAGGCTTTCTCCAGACACACTGGAAAGGGTGAAGATGGGAGTGATGCTGCAAGCACAGAAACAAAGCGAGGAAGCATAAGGCGTGGCGTTTCAGTGGCTTCAGAGACTAAACATGCTTTAAGGTGACATCACAAACAGGATTTCCTATCCTGATAGAAGCTGCTTGGTTCAATGCAACCATTTTTGGCATCTACTTAATCATATTTATGTACTTTAACATTTTTTTCATGTTAATATTGTAGGACTAAAAACAATTGTGTTAAAGTAGCTAAATATGGTTAAGTAGATACCTAAAACGGTTGCATTATTGCTTTCAGTGTTCCTGGTGAAGGTGGGACCCACCATGAAGACTGGGCGAACTGCTGCGCTGCAGTCACAGCATCGTCCGGGCTCAGCACCATCATGGGAACCTTGTTGCAGCCTGGCTGCTTGAGGACTCGCTCCAACTGGCGGACAGTTTTCTCCATGGTGCCGCGCGAGCACAGGTCCACTTTACTGACCACGATGAAAATGGGGACCTTCAGAGCCATGGCCAGGCCTAAGTGCTCTCTGGTGGTACCGGCTGGACATGGAAGAGAGGAGACAACACATGTTACCTGCAGCCCTGCCTGGGAGGGGGCAGCCAGTGCCCGTCTCCTGGACAGGTCCCACAATCAACAAACACAGTGTGACCAGTTAGACCTAGGGAGCCTTCTGTCTTGGTTCTAAACACACCGTCCTCTTGGACTCCTGCAGCCTGGCTGCTGCTAGCCTGGTCGGATGGTAGCCATTTATCCATTGGTCGGACGGTAGCCATTTATCCAGTGGTCGGACGGTAGCCATTTATCCAGTGGTCGGACGGTAGCCATTTATCCACTGGTCGGACGGTAGCCATTTATCCACTGGTCGGACGGTAGCCATTTATCCACTGGTAGGATGGTAGCCATTTATCCACTGGTCGGACGGTAGCCATTTATCCACTGGTCGGACGGTAGCCATTTATCCAGTGGTCGGACGGTAGCCATTTATCCACTGGTCGGACGGTAGCCATTTATCCACTGGTCGGACGGTAGCCATTTATCCACTGGTAGGATGGTAGCCATTTATGCAGCCCAACTGCTCTGAGCATGTACTTACACTGCTACAACACCAGAGGGCGCAATGGTAGCATGAGTCCATTCTATATGTATATCTATGTATATCAGCCTAATACAGAATCCTCGAAATGATGGAAAACATTATTCATTAAGGAAATCATTATAATGTCTGGGAAAATATGTCCTTTATTAACAAGCAATAGTTCATTGATATAAATAACTGATATGTTTTACTTTAGAATTTTAAATTAATGATGACATTAAAATTTGTTCAACTTTGCAATAAGGCTCCATTTTATAGATGGTCAATTCTAAGTGTTATGCATTTAAGGTATACTGCATAATAGTATAGAACATAATAGAATAGAATAGTACAGAATAAAATAGAACAGAACAGAATAGAATAGAACAGAACAGAAGAGAACTGAATAAAATAGAACAGAACAGAATAGAAAAGAGAAGAATAGAACAGAACGGAACAGAACAGAACGTGATAGAATAGAACATATTAGATTAGAACAGAAGACAAAAGAATAGAATAGAATAGAATACAATAGAATGGAAGAGAACAGAACAGAATAGAACAGAATAGAATAAAACATAATAAAAAAGAATAGAAGAAAATAGAACAAACTAGAATGGAATAGAACAGGCTAGAATAGAACAGAATAGAATGGAACAGAAGAGAAGAGAACAAAATAGAGTAGACTCTATTGTCCCCTAGAGGAATATTGTTGTGGACTGAATGGTGCGTAGTGCATAGTAGTAGCTTCCACTAGAAGCAATAAATACACACCTTTACTCTCAACGAATCTTAGCAATACCAGAGTAAAAATGGTTGTTTGTTATATTAGTAGTTATATCTGTGTGGAATCCACTGGGTCTGCCCTGGGGCCGGTTCTTCTCCTCACCGTGATCAGAGCACTCTGTGAGAGTGGATCCAGTGTGTCTCAGTAAATAGTGTAAATGCTGAATGTTTGGCTTTTCTAGAACCACAGTGGATTCAGTGGAAGATCATCTAAACACAGAACTTCAATCAGTTCCTGAAGCAGCATTTCACCCCCAGCCCAGGCCCTTGGGTTTAATTGTTCCAGTGGAGGGCGGGGTCGGCAGCTCACCTACACCCGTGTTGGCGCTCACCACCAGCATGGCGAAGTCAGGGCAGTAGCTGGTCAGACCAAAGATGGTGGTCTTCAGGTACTTGTGGTGACCTGCCAGGTCAATGAAGGTGATCATTTTGGAGGAGCTCTCACAGATCTCCTCGGCTGTTCGGGACTCGCTGTAGTTCACCACCTGAACGACACAAGAAAACAGAGAGAGAGATAGCACCCTGGAACCTTCAGATCAGAACCGTTCTGGATCTGAGACAGAACCCTGGATGAACATCAGCGATCTCTGTCCTCTAGCAGAGAACTGGACCTGGGACAGAACCCTGGATGAACATCAGCGATCTCTGTCCTCTAGCAGAGAACTGGATCATGAACAGAACTTTGACAGTGCTACAGGCAGAATTTGGATCACTTAGGGATTGGATCAGAGCCTTTTTCTTGTGATTTGGGTCTAAATAGAGAGCTGAAGTGTCATACCTCCCCTTTGCTGTTGAAGCCCAAAATTTCAAAGCTGATGCTGGAGGTACGTCCTGTCTGGATTTCATGCAGATGTCTGAAGAGGTTCAGCCGCGCTCTGCCTCGGCCGTTATCCAACTCTCCCTGCGTCAGGACGCCCAGCAGGGTGGACTTCCCAGAGTCCACGTTACCCAGCACCGCCACACGCAGGTCCAGGAACTGTGGACCCACAGGAACAGATGAGAACTGCATCATCTTCAACACTTAAAGCAGTTGAAAGCCTTCAGCTGAGGTACGTCATCTTAGAGTGGACACAGCAAACATCACAGCCATAGGACAGCCAAGCTGACCTAGAACGTCCCCAAGGACAGAGAGGCCACAGAGTTCAGTTCTCAGTTTTTCAGCACTTTTCTGTTCATCTAAACCAGGAGTCTTCAATGTTTTCCAGGCCAAGGAACCCAAACTGATGGCTAGATGGAGCAGGGACTGCCTAATTATATATATTGAATTAAATAGTGTTCTATCAAACTGGTCCTATAGTCACTCTATTACAGATGGAGTAATGTAACTAAAGTAATCCCTCCCTGGGATTATTAAAGTATTTCTGATTCCTGGTTGATGGGACAGGTGTTGTGAATGAAACGGTGTCCAGCTTGAAAGAGCTCCTGTGTGTCGCTGAATGTGTGCATTGATGACTGAAAGACATCTTCTGCCTCCATTTATCTCTTTACTACAGTTTGTTGAATTCGTGTTAATGTGGATTTAAAGACATTTCAATTAATGAAAAAAATGCAGGAAGGAATATAAAAAAAAATCTAATCAACCAAAACTTTTGCGACCCCCATGCAGAACCTCTGTAGAATTCCTAGGGGTCGCGGAACCCCTGTTGAAGTCCTCTGATCTAAACCATTTAGTCTGCGACGGGCTGACAGCAGCTTAGAGCCTCTGAACATCCTAACCTAGAACTACAATACATAGAACACACTGACCTGCTGATCATCAGGAACCTTTCGCACTAGAACCTCTGCTATTTTCCGGCTGGTTCTGTCCAGGCCGTAGTCCACTTCCCTTTCTCGTAGAAGTGTTATGTCGGCTCCGACCCTCCAAGGAGAAATCAGAACACATCACAGCTGTCAGGAGCGAAGACTTCATCATAACTGTTTCTATCAGAGTCCAATAAATGAGCATCAAAACCACAGTTGAACAGAGGGCTTGGTTTTATTTGCTTCCTTCCAATTATAGACCTATGACAGGCGGACCTGACCAACAAGTTTCTGGTTTCCATAGAAACTGTTAATGCAGAAATAAAATAATGAACAATGATTTTTTTTTTTTTTTTATAAACTTCTTGTTATTTTAGCTCATGTCATATTCTGCTGCTGGTCTGATTATATTTAAGCTCAAATATGCTAAGAAAAAAACCTCCTGCTGGAAAACCTCAATGAAACTGGACAACAAATGACTATTCTATATTATGCTATTCTATATTATGCTAATATATATATTATGCTATTCTATATTGTGCTATTCTATATTATGCTATTCTATATTATGCTAATATATATTATGCTATTCTATATTATGCTAATATATATAATGCTATTCTATATTATGCTAATATATATATTATGCTATTCTATATTATGCTAATATATATTATGCTAATATATATTATGCTATTCTATATTATGCTAATATATATTATGCTATTCTATATTATCCTATTTTATATTATGCTAATATATATTGTGCTATTCTATATTATGCTATTCTATATTATGCAACTATATAGTATGCTATTCTATATTACTCTAATATATATTGTGCTATTCTATATTATGCTATTCTATATTATGCTATTCTATATTATGCAACTATATAGTATGCTATTCTATATTACTCTAATATATATTGTGCTATTCTATATTGTGCTATTCTATATTATGCTAATATATATTGTGCTATTCTATATTATGCTATTCTATATTATGCAACTATATAGTATGCTATTCTATATTATGCTAATATATATTGTGCTATTCTATATTATGCTATTCTATATTATGCAACTATATAGTATGCTATTCTATATTACTCTAATATATATTGTGCTATTCTATATTGTGCTATTCTATATTATGCTAATATATATTGTGCTATTCTATATTATGCTATTCTATATTATGCAACTATATAGTATGCTATTCTATATTATGCTAATATATATTGTGCTATTCTATATTGTGCTATTCTTTATTATGCTAATATATATTGTGCTATTCTTTATTATGCTATTCTATATTATGCTAATATATATTATGCTATTCTATATTATGCTAATATATATTATGCAACTATATAGTATGCTATTCTATATTATGCTAATATATATTGTGCTATTCTATATTATGCTATTCTATATTATGCTAATATATATTGTGCTATTCTATATTATGCTATTCTATATTATGCTAATATATATTGTGCTATTCTTTATTATGCTATTCTATATTATGCTATTCTATATTATGCTAATATATATTGTGCTATTCTATATTATGCTATTCTATATTATGCTATTCTATATTATGCTATTCTATAGTATGCTAATATATATTGTGCTATTCTATATTATGCTATTCTATATTATGCCAATATATATTGTGCTATTCTATATTATGCTATTCTATATTATGCTATTCTATATTGTGCTAATATATATTGTGCTATTCTATATTATGCTAATATATATTGTGCTATTCTATATTATGCTATTCTATATTATGCTATTCTATATTGTGCTAATATATATTGTGCTATTCTATATTATGCTAATATATATTGTGCTATTCTATATTATGCTAATATATATTGTGCTATTCTATATTATGCTAATATATATTGTGCTATTCTATATTATGCTATTCTATATTATGCTAATATATATTGTGCTATTCTATATTATGCTATTCTATATTATGCTGATATATATTGTGCAATTCTTTATTATGCTATTCTATATTATGCTAATATATATTGTGCTATTCTATATTATGCTAATATATATTGTGCTATTCTTTATTATGCTATTCTATATTATGCAACTATATAGTATGCTATTCTATAATATGCTAATATATATTGTGCTATTCTATATTATGCTAATATATATTGTGCTATTCTATATTATGCTAATATATATTGTGCTATTCTTTATTATGCTATTCTATATTATGCAACTATATAGTATGCTATTCTATAATATGCTAATATATATTGTGCTATTCTATATTATGCTAATATATATTGTGCTATTCTTTATTATGCTAATATATATTGTGCTATTCTTTATTATGCTATTCTATATTATGCTAATATATATTGTGCTATTCTATATTATGCTATTCTATATTATGCCAATATATATATTGTGCTATTCTGTATTATGTTATTCTATATTATGCTATTCTATATTGTGCTATTCTATATTATGCTATTCTATATTATGCTAATATATATTGTGCTATTCTATATTATGATATTCTATATTATGCTAATATATATTGTGCTATTCTATATTATGCTATTCTATATTATGCTATTCTATAGTATGCTAATATATATTGTGCTATTCTATATTATGCTATTCTATATTATGCTATTCTATAGTATGCTAATATATATTGTGCTATTCTATATTATGCCAATATATATTGTGCTATTCTATATTATGCTATTCTATATTATGCTATTCTATATTGTGCTAATATATATTGTGCTATTCTATATTATGCTAATATATATTGTGCTATTCTATATTATGCTATTCTATATTATGCTATTCTATATTGTGCTAATATATATTGTGCTATTCTATATTATGCTAATATATATTGTGCTATTCTATATTATGCTATTCTATATTAGGCTATTCTATATTGTGCTAATATATATTGTGCTATTCTATATTATGCTATTCTATAGATATTCTAAGAGGATGCTCACTGTTGTCCATCATCTACTTCCTTCTCTGTGAAATCATCTCCAGAGGTTCTAGAGGAGTTCCTAGGACAGAGCCAGTCTTCTTTATTAGATTGTTGAGCTTTTCTTTAGCTCTGATGCTGTTACCCCAGCAGATGATGGAGGAAGAGATCACACTAGAGCTGCAACTAACAATTATTTTTGATAATCCATTAATCTGTCGATTATTTTTTTCAATTCATCAATTAATAATCGGTTAGTGTTCCTTAAAGAAGATTATATGAAGAAATACACCAGGTGAAACGATAAACTGTCTCGATAGAGGATATTGAAAGAAGAAAATATATATATATTTTTGTATCTTAAATGGTTCATATTTATATACGTTTTCACAATTTTGGTACATTTTCCTGCTCTAAGTGGGTCTCTATACTACAGTTAACGATTAATCGATCACTAAATTAGTTGACAATTATTTCAATAATCGATTAATCTGATTGTTTCAGCCCTAGATCAGACTCTCCCCAACAGACTGATAGAAGATCTGCAGCATCTGAAGGACCTAAGCTTCCTCTATTAGTCCAGTCTGCTCTGTCCTTCTTGTAGACGGCTTCACATTTGTGTCTCTAGTCTAGTTTGTTGTCCAGGTGAACACCAGAGTATTTCTACTCCTTCTCCACTTATTCTCCCAGGACCACCTCCTTTGAGTTTCCCAGTCTTCTTTAAATCTCTGTCTGCTCATTTGGTCAGAAAGCCTGGCAGAGACACGCTGAGTCAGAGATATGCTCCTGCAGCCAGGTTTGAGTAAAACACATAATGCTGCTTTGCTGATATTCTGGCTGGGTCCTTTCAGGGCTTGGAGGTCTTCTAACTAGTTTCCTAAAGAGTTCCCCTGATGGCCAATGGAAGAGACGGCTTCTATTTCTTCTTCCTCTCTAGTCTCCTGGCTCCTGCTCTGCACCTCTGGTACCTCCTTTACAACTCAGCTGGTACGAGTGTGGCTGAATAGATGTTATAGAGCTGCTTCAAGATGTAAAAAAATCAACTTTCAATGGTTGCTGTCGCTACGCATCATAACAAGTATCCAAAAAGGAAGAAATATCAGCTCAAGACCAGAAGTTCTCGTAAAAGAAAAAATATCAAAGTGAAGCTAGCAGAGCTAATCCAACATGCAGCCACCTTAAACAACACAACATATTTGATTATAGAATCAGATATATTGTAATTTATTTTATATTATCCTATTTTATATTATCCTATTCTATTCTATTCTATTCTATTTAATACCGTGATGCTTATCTTTACTGGATGGGATGAGCTGCCGTTCTTCTAAAGGCTGCTGGACTGAATTCTCCCATCTAAAGACCAAAGTGCTCAAAGTAAAGGCTCCCTTATAGGTCTGCCCAGCGTAATCATCTTTCTATTAACACAGATCCCATCTCTGAACTTTATTTTTAAGTAGTATTTCTCTCTAAATTGCAGTAACCATTGATAGTGTTGTCGGCTGTAAGACATTGTCCTGCAGCCCTGAGGTTGTTGGTTCCAGACCCACCTTAGATTTTTGAAAGTTACGATAATATTTAACAAGTATTTTGGGTAATGTGACTAATTTGTATTGATTGGTCCTAGTACAAATATAGATTGGATAAAAAAAAACCTGCCAAATTAGATTGGAGGGTTTAGCCAAAAGATTGGTTGAACACATAACTGCCAACCAGACAAAAAACTTTAACTTTAAATAAAATGACTAACACCTTTCATTTTGCTCATCATTGCCCAATTTGCATAAACACTTTCAATGTCTGCTTGCAATTATTTCACTAAAATGGCAGAAAAACTGTGTACCTTAAATGATTGTTCTCTTCTAATACCTTTACACACTAAACAAACGTACAAAAGATTTATTATACACACCAATCATTAACAATTTTAAAGGAACCTAAATGGGAAAAAAACAAGAAAAACAATTGCAAAAAAAAAAAACTCACAATTATATTACTATCTGTAGTTCTGCACTCCACCAGTAGGTGGTGACATGTTCACATGAAGCTTCATGAACTGTGGGGATCGTTGAAGCAATTAGCCCAAACGGTTCAATGAGGCTTCATCTCACCATCACTAATTAACACATATTCTCTGTTTCCAGAGGAGGGAACTACTTTTGCAGATACTTGATGCTGATTGGCTGAGGCGGGTCATCAATCATCATCATCATAATGACATTAATACTTGATCTGCAGGACTGTAGATTTTGCCCTAATGCCTGGCAGACAGGGTCGCCTGTGGTCACCTACTTCTCTGCCATCCTCTTCAGGGTCTTCAGCGATCCCCTCATGTCGGCCTCTGTCAGACCCACCAGCAGGCCGTTGTCCTCTACTCCGATCTGGTACACGGCCTCGCCGCGGCCCTCCTGCAGACGCCACTTCAGCTGGGTGGCCAGATGCTCAAAGCGGTACTGTGTGGGGTTAACCAGCTTTAACTGTGAGAACAGCAGAAACAACGGAGCTACTTTAATCCCCAGCAGATAAAGTTGGTCACAGCAGCTCTGCCAAGCAGAAAGATGAACCCTACCTTATACTCTATGTTTCCCTCCTCAGCCTGGAAACAAGCAGAAACAGAAAGCATGTCAGAATCCTCAGCAGCACATGGATCAAACACAGAACACGCCAACACGGACCTGCCTGCTGTTTAACACCATGATCCAGAACAGGGAAGCAGAGCAGCACTGATCCTCCGAGTCAGAACAGTTTTAAAAGATGCAACACATGAGGCCCCCGGCAGGTCACTGGATCTCTGTGTTTATCACAGAGATGACCTGCTCAGCAGCACAACCAGCTAGCTCCAACCTTTCTGGGTACGTTACTGTAGGGCCACAGATGACAAGCAGCCCATTGGGTCAGGTTAAAAACCAAACTATAAGCAGATTTTAATGCTATGATGATTAAAAGTCTCCTTATGCATCAGCAGCTGGGGGCCACGACTGGCCCCTGGCTCAGATTCAGTTAACATTTCCAAGAATTGGCCCTCCCTATATTCCTAGACATAAACAAAGCTATGGTTAGTAAAGCAGTATGAAACAGGGCATTATGAGACCAAAACAACTGAATATTTTACAACTTGGGAGTCATTCATATTTTTAAACTTGAGGTGAGGGATTTATGGTTGAAAGGTTTAAAGGAAAAGTCTGGTCATATTCAGAATTCAAAATTCTAAAAGTACTCTAAATATCAAATTATTACATGCTGTTCATTAAATGCTCAGTGTTTTTAATTCAGAGTAATTTTCATCTGAATGTGCTTTACTGGAGGCATCCATGTTTGTCAAAGAACACTACTGCCACCTACTGGTTTGTGACGTCACGGTGCGGTATCGGCTGTTGATCAAGTCCCAGTGCTGTATCTGGTGTTTGTCACAACGCGCTATTATCCAAGTCATCTTGAAAACATTCTTCTTCCAAATGTTGGCTACATATTACGGGTTTTTTCTCTGGCCAGAAGTTCGATGGCAAATCCTCCCTCTTCAAGTTGGCGATCCAACGACCAACCCGTCCGTGGAGGATCAGGAATCAGAAAGGTGGAATAACTCTTTATTTTTCACCTTTACCTGGATTCCATTTTGAAGACTATCGGATAATAGGGCAACTTTTTAGTTATGCTGCCCAAATAAATAAATCACTGAATAAAATGTCGACTTTATTTGGAGAAAAATTGACTTAATAATATGAAGAGTTTACTGAGAGACTATGGAAGGGACTTTCAGCTGAAAAATAAGCCCCTGCTGGGTGAAAGCTTTCACTGTTCATGCAGTGGAAGAGATGCTCCTCATTCAGACAGAATGACCATGATGAAAATGATGTTTCTACTTTATTAAAAACAATCAGAGACAAAACGAATATCTGATGGTGTAAAGCTGCTAGAACAGCAGTGAGAAATATCTTAGCTCCTGGCCCGACCAAAACACATTTAACCTTCAATCTAGTAATAGCTGCATTAACAGTGATGTGTGGGTTCATGCATGGAGCCCATATAGCTAAACACTGCATCGGTGCTGATATGAGTTGACACTATTCATTGGCTCCATCTAAAAATATCAAAAGATATTTTGAATTTAAACATGAAATAACACAACAGATGAAACCCGGAGGAGAGAATCGAAGCAGGGGCGGATTTAGGAAATTTGGGGCCCTAGGCAAAGACACACATGGGGCCCTCTGAATAGAGAAAACAACTTATAAGAAAGACCCATTATAGAGATACAGAAATTTTAATAGAATAGACAAACATTATTTACTCAATTTTGATTGCCCTTAATGATGTTTTATATTTTATATTATGTCTAGGGAAAGATATTTTTAATCACATTTTGGAGAGTCAACATGCATTTTGAGATATCTCAAATGACGTCATCTGATTTGTCATTTAAAGTGTCACACTTCCAGAATTATAATCAAAATATTTCAGTTGATTTGAACTAGTCAAAACTATATACTTTTTTAATATTCCAATTATAAAATATTCCCCTACTGCTGTTGCTGAGCTGTCCTAACAGTTGTCCTAACTCCCATATAGGGGCAGTGATAGCCATGCTAACTATGTAGGGGCAGTGATAGCCATGCTAACTATGTAGGGGCAGTGATAGCCATGCTAACTGTGTAGGGGCAGTGATAGCCATGCTAACTATGTAGGGGCAGTGATAGCCATGCTAACTATGTAGGGGCCGTGATAGCCATGCTAGCTATGTAGGGGCCGTGATAGCCATGCTACCTGTGTAGGGGCAGTGATAGCCATGCTAACTATGTAGGGGCCGTGATAGCCATGCTAGCTATGTAGGGGCCGTGATAGCCATGCTAACTATGTAGGGGCAGTGATAGCCATGCTAACTATGTAGGGGCAATGATAGCCATGCTAACTATGTAGGGGCAGTGATAGCCATGCTAGTTGTGTAGGGGCAGTGATAGCCATGCTAAATATGTAGGACAATGATAGCCATGCTAACTGTGTAGGGGCAGCGATAGCCTTGCTAACTATGTAGGGGCAGTGATAGCCATGCTAACTATGTAGGACAATGATAGCCATGCTACCTGTGTAGGGGCAGTGATAGCCATGCTAACTATCTAGGGCCAGTGATAGCCATGCTAACTATGTAGGGGCAGTGATAGCCATGCTAACTGTGTAGGGACAGTGATAGCCATGCTAACTATGTAGGACAATGATAGCCATGCTAACTGTGTAGGGAGAGTGATAGCCATGCTAACTATGTAGGGCAGTGATAGCCATGCTAACTATGTAGGGGCAATGATAGCCATGCTAACTATGTAGGGGGAGTGATAGCCATGCTAGTTGTGTAGGGGCAGTGATAGCCATGCTAAATATGTAGGACAATGATAGCCATGCTAACTGTGTAGGGGCAGTGATAGCCATGCTAACTATGTAGGGCAGTGATAGCCATGCTAACTATGTAGGACAATGATAGCCATGCTAACTGTGTAGGGGCAGTGATAGCCATGCTAACTACGTAGGGCAGTGATAGCCATGCTAACTATGTAGTGGCAGTGATAGCACTGCTAACTGTGTAGGGGCAGTGGTAGCCATGCTAACTGTGTAGGGGCAGTGATAGCCATGCTAACTATCTAGGGCCAGCGATAGCCATCATAACTACATAGGGGCAGTGATAGCCATGCTACCTGTGTAGGGGCAGTGATAGCCATGCTAACTATGTAGGGGGAGTGATTGCCATGCTAAATATGTAGGACAATGATAGCCATGCTAACTGTGTAGGGGCAGTGATAGCCATGCTAACTATGTAGGGCAGTGATAGCCATGCTAACTATGTAGGACAATGATAGCCATGCTAACTGTGTAGGGGCAGTGATAGCCATGCTAACTACGTAGGGCAGTGATAGCCATGCTAACTATGTAGTGGCAGTGATAGCACTGCTAACTGTGTAGGGGCAGTGGTAGCCATGCTAACTGTGTAGGGGCAGTGATAGCCATGCTAACTATCTAGGGCCAGCGATAGCCATCATAACTATATAGGGGCAGTGACAGCCATGCTAACTGTGTAGGGGCATTGATAGCCATGCTAACCGTGTAGGGGCAGTGATAGCCATGCTAACTGTGTAGGGGCAGTGATACCCATGCTAATTATCTAGGGCCAGTGATAGCCATGCTAACTGTGTAGGGGCAGTGATAGCCATGCTAATCATGTAGTGGCAGTGATAGCACTGCTAAATGTGTAGGCGTAGTGCTAGCACTGCTAACTATGTAGGGGCAGTGATAGCCATGCTAACTGTGTAGGGGCAGTGATAGCCATGCTAACTATGTAGGGGCAGTGATAGCCATGCTAACTGTGTAGGGGCAGTGATAGCCATGCTAACTATGTAGGGGCAGTGATAGCCATGCTAACTGTGTAGGGGCAGTGATAGTCATGCCAGTTCAGGAACTGTCTGCAAATCTACTGGAAGGTGCCTTGGTCAAGGTGAATGACTGACGTGCCTGACATGGAACAACCAGACCATGCATGTTGCTTTAGGTTAATAGATTATATTAATTAGGTTACGTATGTTTCCAAAAAAAAATTCCACCATGCCCCTTCTTTTTTTTTTTACAACTGGACTACTGCTGATTGGCTAAAAAAAGTGAAGCCACCTCCCGCCTCATTGGTACTCCCCACTCCCACGGTGATGTGCAGTAAAAATGCCTCCCTGTGCTGCACTTGGCTGCAAAAACCAGCAGTATTCTGGCTGTGGGAAGATGATCCACAGGTTTTTCCCAGTCAGTGGATGAACTAACCAATAAATCCATCTATAGCCGATGGATCCTATAGTATAGTCTGTAGCGTAACATTAGTCTGGCTATCTGGGACTGACTGGAAGACATTGACTGAGTTAGCCATTGTCATTGTGTCTAACGTTAGAAAATAGAAAGTAATTCACGGTGAAATGTCAATGTAGTAATTCTTTATTAGGTGGATGATGCTTTTGTTTTTGTAGTGTTTGGTTTATTTGTCATTTGAAAAAGTCATGAAATATATTGCACGTTATATTGACGGAAAAAAAAAGCAACTCAAACATTTGACCCCTTTATACATATCTATGTATATATATATATATATATATATATATATATATATATATATATATATATATATATATATATATATATATATATATATATATATATACATATATATATGTGTGTGTGTGTGTGTATTGTATTACTAGACATGTAATATGTTATTACTATAACGATGTCATCAATACATGTATACACATACATCATCCATTTAGGACTTTTGGCTCATCTGTATTATTCTGCTCCATTAACACATTCAATTTATTGTGATGGATTTGTATAATATGTTATATCACATGATTTATAGACTTAATTGTCTTCACAATGACTATGCAATGTGATGTGACTATCATTTTAAATTATTTTAAGTTAAAGTACTCTATTGATTCTATGAAGCAGCCAGTGTCAAAGTGATGATGAATTTATTATTCCAAAAATAAAGATCAAATGAGAGCATCATCGATGTTCGATGCTGTAGCGCACAGATTGTTTACATTGCCACCTGTCTAACTAGGGAGTACCAATATGGCAGCCAGTGGCTTCACTTCAACCTTGTACTACCAACTTTCAATTAGCGATCCAGGGAATAGAGAGCAGCGGTCGAAACGCCTCCAGATGCATCATTGATCATCACTACTTCAATGTTTAGTGAAAACAGCTGTGAGCAGCGCACCAACAGCCTGAGGTCATTTGAAGCTTCTTCTATGGAAGTAAATATGTGCCATCAGAATTTGAATAAAAAATACCTCTGAAATTTGAATGTTGTATATTAGTGCCTACTTTTTCAGTATTAAAAAAAATTCAGAATATATTTTTAACCTAAAAAAAATTCAATGTCATTATTTGTACATAAAAAAAAATTCAGTGTAATTTTTTTTACATGGTTGCAATTTTCAGTTATTAAAAAAAATCACATTCCTATTTCAAAGTGATAAAATTTTCAATATACATATTTTTCACAGTTTAAATTTTCAGTGTTAAAAAATTCAGCATATAAAAAATTCAACTTTTCAAAATTCAAATGCAAAATTTTCGTTGTCCACCAATTCAACTTGCTCAAATTCACTGTCTCAAATTCAGCGTCTAAAAATTCGCTGTAAAAATGGCCAAGGTTACTTCAGGTCACAGACATTAGCAATGGATGCCCGATTCCAACATCCACCTAATCACGTGACACAACCGTCATATTGAAGAAGTACCAGTATCACCCAGGCTGGTGACCATGGAGGCGAACTCAAACCCAGCGGTGAGTTTAATGCTTTCATATTTCTGTAGTATATTTTATTTTGCGCATGAAGTTTGATACATTATCTTAAAGCCTGATTTAAAACACCCTCCCTCCCAATTTCCCCCGTTTTATTTCAAAAAGAAATACCACTTTTCCAGGCAGTCTTAGTAAAGCCGTAATTTTTCAGGAGATGCTACCGCTAATGTAGTAAGCTAATATGGCTGCCTTGTGTGCTTCAAAGAGGGGCTGTGAACAGTTCCGACCCCACTCTGATCAGCTACTGTATTGTTAGGTGACTTCATTTATGAATTAATTAAGAAATTTATTGTCATTACAACATCATTCAAAATACCAGTTACCTACCAAATTGTAGATTTATTTGTGCTTGATATAGTTTCTACAATTTTAATGGGAGAAGAGCACAGTAGGCATCTAAGACAACATACAAACAACCCAGAAAGTCACCACCCATCAGTTCTTTTTAAAGATTCTAGACTTGGCGCAAGGGGTATTTCTTTTTGAAATAAAACGGGGGAAATTTGGGGGGGGGGGGGGCGAGAAGTAATATGCCGGCACTGCACGGTGTGCCGGCATATCACACACGGTGTAAGATTAACAACGGCCCAAACCAGTGTTTTAAATCAGGCTTTAAGATAATGTATCAAACTTCATGCGCAAAATAAAATATACTACAGAAATATGAAAGCATTAAACTCAGCGTTGGGTTTGAGTTCGCCTCCATGGTTGCCAGCCTGGGTGATACTAGTACTTCTTCAATATGACGGTTGTGTCACGTGATTAGGTGGATGTTGGAATCGGACATCCATTGCTAATGTCTGTGACCTGAAGTAACCTTGGCCATTTTTACAGCGAATTTTTAGACGCTGAATTTGAGACAGTGAATTTGAGCAAGTTGAATTGGTGGACAACGAAAATATTGCATTTGAATTTTGAAAAGTTGATTTTTTTATATGCTGAATTTTTTAACACTGAAAATTTAAACTGTGAAAAATATGTATATTGAAAATTTTATCACTTTGAAATAGGAATGTGAATTTTTTTAATAACTAAAAAATGCAACCATGTAAAAAAAATTACACTGAATTTTTTTTTTAATGTACAAATAATGACATTGAATTTTTTTTAGGTTAAAAATATATTCTGAATTTTTTTTAATACTGAAAAAGTAAGCACTAATATACAACATTCAAATTTCAGAGGTATTTTTTATTCAAATTCTGATGGCACATATTTACTTCCATATTCTTCCTTTTTAACATTTTCTCTAAGGAAACTTAGACCGAAAGGAACCTTCAAGGATGAATGAGATGCTGTTTATCTCTGATCACCCTGTGACCTGCCCATCATCATCTCTGCTGTTTATCTCTGATCACCCTGTGACCTGCCCATCATCATCTCTGCTGTTTATCTCTGATCACCCTGTGACCTGCCCATCATCATCTCTGCTGTTTATCTCTGATCACCCTGTGACCTGCCCATCATCATCTCTGCTGTTTATCTCTGATCACCCTGTGACCTGCCCATCATCTCTGCTGTTTATCTCTGACCACCCTGTGACCTGCCCATCATCATCTCTGCTGTTTATCTCTGATCACCCTGTGACCTGCCCATCATCTCTGCTGTTTATCTCTGATCACCCTGTGACCTGCCCATCATCATCTCTGCTGTTTATCTCTGATCACCCTGTGACCTGCCCATCATCATCTCTGCTGTTTATCTCTGATCACCCTGTGACCTGCCCATCATCTCTGCTGTTTATCTCTGATCACCCTGTGACCTGCCCATCATCATCTCTGCTGTTTATCTCTGATCACCCTGTGACCTGCCCATCATCATGTCTGCTGTTTATCTCTGATCACCCTGTGACCTGCCCATCATCATCTCTGCTGTTTATCTCTGATCACCCTGTGACCTGCCCATCATCATCTCTGCTGTTTATCTCTGATCACCCTGTGACCTGCCCATCATCATCTCTGCTGTTTATCTCTGATCACCCTGTGACCTGCCCATCATCATCTCTGCTGTTTATCTCTGATCACCCTGTGACCTGCCCATCATCATGTCTGCTGTTTATCTCTGATCACCCTGTGACCTGCCCATCATCATCTCTGCTGTTTATCTCTGATCACCCTGTGACCTGCCCATCATCATCTCTGCTGTTTATCTCTGATCACCCTGTGACCTGCCCATCATCATCTCTGCTGTTTATCTCTGATCACCCTGTGACCTGCCCATCATCATGTCTGCTGTTTATCTCTGATCACCCTGTGACCTGCCCATCATCATCTCTGCTGTTTATCTCTGATCACCCTGTGACCTGCCCATCATCATCTCTGCTGTTTATCTCTGATCACCCTGTGACCTGCCCATCATCATCTCTGCTGTTTATCTCTGATCACCCTGTGACCTGCCCATCATCTCTGCTGTTTATCTCTGATCACCCTGTGACCTGCCCATCATCATCTCTGCTGTTTATCTCTGATCACCCTGTGACCTGCCCATCATCATCTCTGCTGTTTATCTCTGATCACCCTGTGACCTGCCCATCATCATCTCTGCTGTTTATCTCTGATCACCCTGTGACCTGCCCATCATCATGTCTGCTGTTTATCTCTGATCACCCTGTGACCTGCCCATCATCATCTCTGCTGTTTATCTCTGATCACCCTGTGACCTGCCCATCATGTCTGACCACCATCAGGGTTCATTCCTCAATCTTTGACGGTGGTGAAGTCTTTCTAACATCTTTATTAAATGCTTTAATTAGCGGCCCTGTCAGCTAGTCATAGAACATCCTCTCATTGCTCTGCAGCTGCTCAGTCCTAACAGGCTCGGCTGCTGTCAGCCGCCATGTTGGTTCTGCTCTGCCGCAGTCATAACAAGCTAGCTACCTCCGGGGGGAAGGTGGGCGGCGGGGTTCTGTTGTTCCTCTTCCTTTTATTCCGCCTCTTCCTGCCTTGTCTTCCTCGCCTGGATCGCGCCTTTCTGGGTGATTTCTTCCCTTTACTCGCCAGGGAACCGGACCCATGTCTGTCCGCAGCAGTTTGGACCGAGTCCACCATGGCGGAGCTGACTATGAGCGGCCGCTCCAGAACCTTCTCTGCTCCATCGCTGGCTTCTGTTCAATGATGTCGGTCAGATGCTCTCTCCTCAGCACCAACTGCGATATCTATGCCGCTATATGACGTCACCATTTTCATTTAAGGTCAACTTCCGGTCTAGAACCCCACCGAACCGAAAACTAAACACAGACTGTTTCAAAATAAAACGAGAGACAACCCATCAAGAAATCTGTTCTGATCTTTCCCACTCCTCTTATAAATAAATATCTCACATTCAACAAAAAAATAATAAGACAGCATATAAATTACCAAATTTTCCCTCTCCCAGTTAAGAGGAATTTATCTTTAAATATGTTTTCAGAAATTAAATTTATTAAGATCACAACCACATTTCCAGAGCTTTATGGATATGCTGCTATAGGCTTAGACTGCTGGAGGACATAGGAACCCCTTTTTTCATCATTCTGCTTGATTCTATCGCTATTCTCCTACTCTGCAATATCTGATAGTTCAATCTCTTATCTCTTGTTTATAGATGCTGGAGATCAGCTTGTTTTCCAGTGTAGTCCTGTTTCTCTGACTGTGACTAACTGGATGTGCTCTCTTCATCCTCTGACATGGGAGCTGGCTCGGAGCTCGTCTGCCTGGCTGTGTGTTTCCTGGACGGGGCCGCCTGTGGAGCTGGTTGACAGTTGCCTTTTGTATCTATGCTTCTTTTTCTATGTCTGCTTCTGTCTCCTTGAACCCCAGTGGGCCTCAGCAGATGGCTGCTCACACTGAGCCTGGTTCTGCTGGAGGTTTCTTCCTGTTCAAAGGGAGTTTTTCCTCTCCACTGTCGCTACAAGCATGCTTAGAGTGAGGGATTGCTGAAGAGTCAATGAGTCGATGATCTGGTGAACTATAAAGTGCCTTGAGGTGACATGTGCTGTGAATTGGCGCCATAGAAATAAACAATAAGGAAGAAGTATTAAAAAAGAAGATATGCCAGTAAAATTATATCAAAATCTGAAAGTAAACGTATAGTTTGGAGAGAATGCAAGAAGATATAAAAAATTAGGAGGGACTATGAAATAAATGGAAGACATTTGAAGAGGAAAAAAAATACAGTAGATGTATAAAAGATTAGAGCAATAAACAGCAGGGTGGAGATATATATAAATAGAATAAGAATCAGTCACAGTGTTTTAAATTGAAATGTTTTTAAGATGGGGAAACATCTTACCGGTTTCTATGGTTGGTTTCATAATGTAGAAACAATGGAGTAAAATATTTAACTCAGAGATTATTAAAAACAAAATTAAGTTTTAATAGTGAATTTAAATTTGACAATGTGGTTGATCAGGTAAATAATATTGATGGGGAAAAAAAGAAGATTTTTTTTTCTTTTTTTTTAATACTTGGATCATTCTGAGAAATTGAGGAATAGATGTTAGGATCCAATAGATGGCAGCAGTGCGACAATTGTTGGAGGAACCCTGCCGTTAAAACCTAAAGAAGAAGAAGCGAGACTTCCGGTTGTCCGGCCACGTGACTATAGTTTACAAACCAAGGAGCGTTTCAGGACCCGCTTCTGGCTGAAATGGAAAGCAGCATGAGGACAGAGAAGCAGCGACATGTTACCGGAGGAAAGAAGAAGACTGTTAGTGGTAGCGGTGAGGAAGACTCTGATGTAGAGAGGAAGATCAGCGCGTTTAAACAGGAGGAAGAGAAGATTTCACCACGAGAACACAGAGAGGAGGGGCGGAGCCAATCAGGTAGGGACTGTGGAAGCAGCGCTGAAGAAGGATCGGAGGAAGATGATGAGGATGATGATGACGAAGATGACGATGAAGAAGAAGATGATGATGATGACGAAGAAGAAGATGATGATGATGAAGACGAAGATGATGATGATAAAGCAGGGGAAGATGACAATGACGCAGAGCTGCAGGCAAGGGAAGACATCAGGAAAGGTGAGACCTTAGCCCTGTTAGCTCTGACCCCCCATGACTGATCTCAGCCCTGTTACCTCTGACCCCCCATGACTGATCTCAGCCCTGTTACCTCTGACCCCCCATGACTGAGCCCTGTTACCTCTGACCCCCACTGACTGACCTCAGCCCTGTTACCTCTGACCCCCACATGCCTGAGCCCTGTTAGCTCTGACCCCCAATGACTGACCTCAGCCCTGTTACCTCTGACCCCCCATGACTGATCTCAGCCCTGTTACCTATGACCCCCCCCATGACTGAGCCCTGTTAGCTCTGACCCCCAATGACTGACCTCAGCCCTGTTAGCTCTGACCCCCCATGACTGACCTCAGCCCTGTTACCTCTGACCCCCCATGACTGATCTCAGCCCTGTTACCTCTGACCCCCCCATGACTGAGCCCTGTTACCTCTGACCCCTAATGACTGACCTCAGCCCTGTTACCTCTGACCCCCACATGCCTGAGCCCTGTTACCTCTGATCCCCAATGACTGACCTCAGCCCTGTTAGCTCTGACCCCCCATGACTGACCTCAGCCCTGTTACCTCTGACCCCCCATGACTGATCTCAGCCCTGTTATCTCTGACCACCCATGACTGATCTCAGCCCTGTTACCTCTGACCCCCCCATGACTGAGCCCTGTTACCTCTGACCCCCCCATGACTGAGCCGTTACCTCTGACCCCTAATGACTGACCTCAGCCCTGTTACCTCTGACCCCCACATGCCTGAGCCCTGTTACCTCTGATCCCCAATGACTGACCTCAGCCCTGTTAGCTCTGACCCCCCATGACTGACCTCAGCCCTGTTACCTCTGACCCCCCATGACTGACCTCAGCCCTGTTACCTCTGACCCCCCATGACTAATCTCAGCCCTGTTATCTCTGACCACCCATGACTGATCTCAGCCCTGTTACCTCTGACCCCCCCATGACTGAGCCCTGTTACCTCTGACCCCCCCATGACTGAGCCGTTACCTCTGACCCCTAATGACTGACCTCAGCCCTGTTACCTCTGACCCCCACATGCCTGAGCCCTGTTACCTCTGACCCTCAATAGCTGACCTCAGCCCTGTTACCTCTGACCCCCCATGAATAATCTCAGCCCTGTTATCTCTGACCCCCCATGACTGATCTCAGCCCTGTTACCTCTGACCCCCCCATGACTGACCTCAGCCCTGTTAGCTCTGACCCCCACATGCCTTAGCCCTGTTAGCTCTGACCCCCAATGACTGACCTCAGCCCTGTCAGCTCTGACCCCCCATGACTGACCTCAACCCTGTTACCTCTGACCCCCATGACTAATCTCAGCCCTGTTAGCTCTGACCCCTCCATCACTGACCTCAGCCCTGTTTCCTCTGACCCCCCATGACTGACCTCAGCCCTGTTACCTCTGACCCCACCATGACTGATCTCAGCTCTGTTACCTCTGACCCCCCATGACTGACCTCAGCCCTGTTTCCTCTGACCCCCCATGACTGACCTCAGCCCTGTTACCTCTGACCCCCTCATAACTGAGCCTTGTTGCCTATGACCCTCCATGACTGAGCCCTGTTACCTCTGACCCCCCTCCCCCTCATGACTGACCTCAGTTGTGTTACCTCGGACCCCCCATGACTGAGCCCTCTTACTTATGACCCGCCTTTACTGACCTCAGCCCTGTTTCCTCTGAGCCCCCCCATGACCATATAGTGGTTAGTATACTATATAGTGGCCTATAAAGAGGTTGGTATACCATATTGTGGCCTATATAGTGGTCAGTATACCATATAGTGGCCTATAACGAGGTTGGTATACCATATAGTGGCCTATAACGAGGTTGGTATACCATATAGTGGCCTATAAAGAGGTTGGTATACCATATTGTGGCCTATATAGTGGTCAGTATACCATATAGTGGCCTATAAAGTGGTCAGTATACCATATAGTGGCCTATAACGAGGTTGGTATACCATATAGTGGCCTATAACGAGGTTGGTATACCATATAGTGGCCTATAAAGTAGTCAGTATACCATATAGTGGCCTATATAGTGGTCAGTATACCATATAGTGGCCTATAAAGTGGTCAGTATACCATATAGTGGCCTATAACGAGGTTGGTATACCATATAGTGGCCTATAAAGTGGTCAGTATACCATATAGTGGCCTATATAGTGGTCAGTATACCATATAGTGGCCTATAAAGTGGTCAGTATACCATATAGTGGCCTAAAAAGAGGTTGGTATACAATATAGTGGCCTATATAGTGGTCAGTATACCATATAGTGGCCTATAAAGAGGTTGTTATACCATATAGTGGCCTATATAGTGGTCAGAATACTATATAGTGGCCTAAAAAGAGGTTGGTATACCATATAGTGGCCTATATAGTGGTCAGTATACCATATAGTGGCCTATAAAGAGGTTGGTATACCATATTGTGGCCTATATAGTGGTCAGTATACCATATAGTGGCCTATAAAGAGGTTGGTATACCATATAGTGGCCTATATAGTGGTCAGTATACCATATAGTGTCCTATAAAGAGGTTGGTATACCATATAGTGGCCTATAAAGAGGTTGGTATACCATATAGTGGCCCATAAAGAGGTTGGTATACCATATAGTGGCCCATAAAGAGGTTGGTATACCATATAGTGGCCTATAAAGTGGTAAGTATACCATATAGTGGCCTATATAGTGGTCAGTATACCATATAGTGGCCTATAAAGTGGTTAGTATACCATATAGTGGCCTATATAGTGGTCAGTATACCATATAGTGGCCTATATAGTGGTCAGTAAACCATATAGTGGCCTATATAGTGGTCAGTATACCATATAGTGGCCTATATAGTGGTCAGTATACCATATAGTGGCCTATATAGTGGTCAGTATACCATATAGTGGCCTATAAAGCGGTTAGTATACCATATAGTGGCCTATATAGTGGTCAGTATACCATATAGTGGCCTATATAGTGGTCAGTATACCATATAGTGGCCTATAAAGTGGTCAGTATACCATATAGTGGCCTATATAGTGGTCAGTATACCATATAGTGGCCTATATAGTGGTCAGTATACCATATAGTGGCCTATAAAGTGGTTAGTATACCATATAGTGGCTGTATAGTGGTCAGTATACCATATAGTGGCCTGTATAGTGGTCAGTATACCATATAGTGGCCTATATAGTGGTCAGTATACCATATAGTGGCCTGTATAGTGGTCAGTATACCATATAGTGGCCTATATAGTGGTCAGTATACCATATAGTGGCCTATAAAATGGTTAGTATACCATATAGTGGCCTATAAAATGGTTAGTATACCATATAGTGGCCTATATAGTGGTCAATATACCATATAGTGGCCTATAAAGTGGTTAGTATACCATATAGTGGCCTATAAAGTGGTTAGGACGGACATTCGGACACAGTTTCCGTTGTAGCTTCCTCATAGTGGAATATTTCCTGGTGATGTGCTCTTCCTACTCAGGACTGTCGAACATTCCCTTTGAGGAGGTCATGAAGCTGCAGCAGAAGGTGGGAACTAAAGCTTTCAATGAGGTGGCGTTCAGTAGCAGAAGACACGGAGCAGTCAGCAGTAAGAAAAGGCTGAACAAGAACAGGTCTGTTGCTTCTTATGGTGAAAAGTGTTTGATTTCTGCAGCAGGTCCTCCTCCCACAGACCTTCAGTTTGTTTCACACAGTGTTTGATTTCAGGCCGATGGAAATCTCAGCCAAAAAGGCGCCATCCTTCCTCCGCCAGGTCATCCCCATCAAGAAATCTGTGAGTCACACCAGTTTTGACAGAACATTGTACCATAAACCCTCCGGATGCATTAGAAGCTTAATGTTGGACTGTTGTGTCATAGACCAGGAGGGATCCTCGGTTTGACAGCCTGTCAGGGGAATACAAACCAGAGATATTTGAGAAGACTTACAAGTTTATTAATGACCTCAAACACAGAGAGAAGGAGGTGAGAAAACCCAAAGGTTTATTATCCTGCATGAGAGGAGCTGCTAACATTCTCTTTCTGTGCAGATGATTAAGAAGCAGCTAAAGAAGAAAAAGATGGGCAGTCAGAGGAAGGAGAAGCTGCAGTTCCTGCTGAGGAGATTGGTGAGAAGTCCTCATACTTCACTCTTTTTATGATCTGACACAGAGAAATCAAGTGTGATCTAGAATTGGACAACCTGCACTGTAGATCTACATCTCACAGCTCTGGCAGTGATGGAGACACCCTCTCACTGACAGCAGCAGCTGGAGGGAGGGCCCCTGGGCTTTGCTATCCTCTTCAGCCAGCTCTTCATAGGCAGGCCTTATATCCTGCTAAAGGGCCAGCTTTCTAAAGCCGGGTGTACGCCCTTTTTGGGCCGATTCTCCAGTCGTGCAATCATTTTTCCATCGGGCCGACTTTCATCCTGATGGTGCGTGATGTAGTGAACAGGGGGTAACGAGGGGCGATCAGCCTCTAACGACCACCTCCCCATCAGGAATCGTGAGGTCGGGAGAAAATCAAACATGTTTAATATTCAGTCGGCCGTCGTAAGGTGGTCATGGGCAAATTGCTCAGTTGGCAAACAGGGATTCTTCTTCTTCTTCCTCTCAGATGTAAACACAGAAGCATGGCGGGGGTGCAATGAGTGAGTTCTTTCTGTAAAACTGACAGACCGCAGTAGCCCCGGTTGATCAGCCATGTCTATAAGCCGTCTCTTTCTCTTTTCAGGGCTTTCAGCACAAAATGGCACAAATTGCCAAGGCAGCACATTTCACCTCTAGTGAGCTTTATATTCCTCTTCTACTCGTTTGGCTTCCCGATAGACGAGTCTGAGTAGCGCCCTCTCACTGCGGAGCTGAGTCCCACAGTGTGAGCAGGTAGATCTAATCAGAGCGTCGGGTCGCACAGCGTGAGAACAAACATTCGAGCTGGGAACTTCTAAACCCTGCGGTTTTGTCGTACAGTTTGTGCTGTAGCTGCGTGCAACCATTAAATATATAGCACAGTGTAAGCTCCGCTTAATGGGGTTGGATATTGACAGGGGGCCCGCTCTTCTGGCCGTTGGATTATAAGGGGGACAATTCCTCCAAGGGCCATATATTAAGGGCTCCGCGGGGAACAGTGTCTTATCAGCTCCTCATAAGGCCATTTAGCCCCCTCACCTGAGGCCAGCTCTTCAGAGAGTCGGCATTTCAGGCTGGGCTGACTATTTTGAGGGCCCGTTTCCCCCCTAGGGCCAGGTTTGTCAGGGGGCCTTCATGCCAAGGGGGCCAGCTCTTTAGGGGGGGTGGCAATTTTTTGAGAAGGTGTGGGTACCAGATCTGCTTGAGCCCTGCAGATGCCAGTGACGTATGATTGGCTGAACGTTGCCACATGACCCAAAACATGTTGGTTGCCCAGACTGTCCACTGTTTTTACAGGAGAACCAGGAGAAAGCCAGACAGACCAGAGAGCAGCAGAGAGAGAGAGAGCTCCAGTTCAAGAAGCAGCAGCGAGAACGAGCCAGTCGTGGGGAGCGGCCTTTTTTCCTGAAGAAATGTAAGGAGTGCTCCATCAGTCAGGACCTGGTGATGTGGGTTTGTTACCTTCTGAGCTGCATGGATCTTCATGGTGACTCTGAGTCACCAACTAGCTGAACAGAGGGAATGAATGCTTGAATCACAAGTCCAAGCTTTGAGTTACAGTTCCTTTGTTTGACGTGAAAATCTTCAGAATCCCCGTCAGAAACTCTCAGCGATGCAGGTCATACACATCCATGTTCCACCGCTGCATAAGGAGCAGATTCCTCTGTTTGACCTAAAACTGGATACATAAAAGTAGGCTTTGGTGTTAGTCTGCGGCAGACTTTTTCATTCCTCATTTACGAGATAAAAAGCCTAAAAATGTACTCAAATAAACTGAAACCTGTCCATCTGGTTAAAGGTAAATGATCACCTTGAATCTCTTTACCAAAAATCCTGTTAAAATCAGGTCATATAGGTCAACCTGATAGTGTTTAAATAGCCTAAATAGAGTTCCAGCTCTGGGTGCGATGAGCAGACATGGTGCCATCTGCTGCAAGACATTATATAAAATGATACACTACCATCCTGTAACCTTTAGATGCGTCTTTTCTCTACTACCCCTGGGTCTAAAGGCTGGCTCATTTGGCTCAGCGGAGGCTAACCGGCCACTCGTTTCATTCAGGTGTGTTCAGAATGGCATGGGCTGGCTAACCAGAGCTGATGAAAGAGGCTGTGTCTGACTGTCCGCCCTAATCAGGGCACTATATAGTGGTTACGCCATTCTAGATGAGTGTCCCAACGTCTAGTGGATGAAAAAGTAGTGGACTTGAAATTTCCCACAATGCACCTTAAAAAGTAGTGCTCATCTATGGTCACTAGAATCAATTGTTTATTTCTATAGAGCCAATTCACATCATGTCATCTCAAGGTGCTTTCCAGTTCACCAGATCATCCAGTCAGATTGATTCAACGTTTTCTATCTATAGAAAAGCAGCTAATCGACTCATTGACTCTTCAGCAATCCCTCACACTAAGCATGCTTGTAGTGACAGTGGAGAGGAAAAACTCCCTGAACAGGAAGAAACCTCCAGCAGAACCAGGCTCAGTGTGAGCGGCCATCTGCTGAGGCCGACTGGGGTTCAAGGAGACAGAAGCAGACATAGAAAAAGAAGCATAGATACAAAAGGCAACTGTCAACCAGCTCCACAGGCGGCCCCGTCCAGGAAACACACAGCCAGGCAGACGAGCTCCGTGCCAGCTCCCATGTCAGAGGATGAGGAGTGCACATCCACTGTATTATGAAATTTAGGCAGGATCGGGATGCACACACAGAACACACAAACTGTTTCTGCTAGAATTAAAATGTGTCGCTTTATTCCGCCACAGAAAACAGCAAAGCAAGCACATCAATCAAGGCACGGTGCTGAATACAAATTATATTGCTTCAATACAACTTCTATTGTCCCCCTACCGTCACACAAGGATCGGAGGGCCGGTCGATCCCGGCAGGGCAGCAACCCGCGCAGCTAGGCGTCCGTACGCAACCCTAGGAGACCCCGCCAGTGCCAACCGCCATCCGTCATTTATGCCAAACTTCAAAGGAAAATCTTTTACCCAATCAGGAAAAGTGATCGCTCCCTCTCACGCCTGGAGCGCATGATTACAGAAACCAAAATATGGAATGCCCCACCCAGGGCTCCTGGACAGCCGAAACCAAAAACGAAATTACATCATTCTCAGAGCATGGCACCGAGAGGTTGTGAGTACAAAAACAAATTATATTATCCTCTCAAGGAAACAGAAACTTAGATAATGAGAGTGCTTAGGTAATAAGAGGGCTTCATTTGTGATACAAAACTTGATGATTGTCAAAGAACATAAAATGTAAAACCCATATATATCATGCACTTAGAGAAACAGGACTACACTGAAAAACAGGCTGATCTCCAGCATCTAGAAACAAAGGTGTTGATGGCAGCAGCACAGCTGATATTTCTCTCCAGGATGGAGTCACAGCCAAACAGGAACAGACGATGTTAGGTCAATGTCTAAACCCAGAAGCCAACTCAAGACTGAATTCAGTTCAGTTTATCTAAAGAGCACCAATTCACAACACAGTTTTTTTTTTTTATTTCTTCCCCAAAACGAGGAGCAAATCTCTTTTTACCATCCTTTGATGTTAGAGATTGGTTTGACCTCTCCAGGGTCCTGAAAACCCAAACTATACTAAATAAAACTGCAGTATAATGACAGTATTTAAAAGTTTGAAAGAAAGTTAGATTTACTGGAGCTCGTTTTTGGAACACCTGATCTAGTTTTCTTTTTTCTCCTCAGCGGAGAAGAAGAAGCTGCAGCTGGCTGAGAAGTACCTGGACTTGAAGAAAAGCGGCAAAGTGGAGAAGTTCCTCAGCAAGAAGAGGAAGAGGAATGCAGTGAAAGACCGCAGGAAGCTGCCGGAGCAACTCCAGAGCCAGAAGCTTTCATAGTGAGAGCTGGCCAGGAGCTGCCTCTGCAGAGACTCATCTCCGCCTCCTGATGGCGCCGTTAAACATTCATCAGCAGGTCTCCTCTTCCCTGATGTCATTAGGGAGGTTTGGATGCCTGAAAACCTCCCGGGTTCAGTGATGTTTAAGGTCTAATGTTGGATTGGTGTCCAATGATTTAGTAATAAAGGTTTTCTATTTTCATCCTCCTGTTCTTCTGCTGATAGCTTCTCTATATTTATCTCCCTCTGTGGTGCAGCTCGCTCCACTGGGACCGATCATCTAGAATATCGCCTAGCTTCACTCCTCCAGCTGTTCAGCACAGTTTGCCGTTCAGCTACGGCCGTTTCTTCTGTTTAGAACGACCCAAACCAGAGACACGGACGCTTTGGGGTGGCCCTCTGTTTTCAGTTCTCCATGTATGGATGCTGTGCCGCTGAGCCAGAGGGATCCCATCAGATAAGCCGTCCGCTGAGCTGGTTCCATCCTTTAAAGCTCATTTCTTTAATAAATATCCTATCCTAGCCAGAATGCTGGGTGAACACTGCAGGATGGAAACTGCCAACATTTCAACATCTGCTCTGTTCAGGTCTATGTTTTCTCTGGAGACACTGAAACCGAAGGGAAACACATTCTGCCAGGTTTTAGGTTAAATTCCTGCTTGTGATGGAAACATTTCCAAACCACATGAAGGGAACGTGTTTTTGGTAAACCCAAAAAAGTAAAACCAAACGACGTGACAGTTTCAATTGAAAAAAGCTTCCTGGATGGGAAGCAAAATGACTTCAAACTTAATGAAACTAAGTCTAGTGGATTGTTTTTCACTTTTTTGGAATGACTATGACCTGAGTGGCTGAGAATCTTCTCCAGCATGTTTTTGGTAAAGAAATCCCCACTTCTACTTTCTCAGCTGCTTCCATTCAGAAGAGTCAATGTTCTAACAGCCTTGGTCCCAGCTTCTATCAGGGATTGGCTTGTTTTAAAACACCTGATGTGGTTCCATGTCTGACTGATAAACACTACAACAGCTCCACTATGAAACCCTGACATGAACTCATGCAGCAGCAGCAGTTCCAGGGTTGGTCTGCCTGATGGGGACCAAACATTGAGGGAACAGACCTTCACTTCTGGAACATTGTAAGGTCAAATTGAATTCATTTACAGTAAATAACAGCCCTCCAGAGGGCATGTTGGTGGAGCAGGGGTTAAAGCATGTGCTGCAGGTCGCCCCCTCTTCATCCCAATCTTTCAAATACTAAAGTTAGTAAACAGCAGGAGCTGCATGACAAACAGCGGGTAGATCAGTGGGTTTGAACTGCTGCCTGAAACCATCCAAAAACAGGAGTGTTTGGTTAACTGGTCGCTCTGCAGTACTCCTGCTGGAGCCCCCCCCCCACCACTCAAATAACTGACACGTCAGAAGTGACTGTTAATCACTCATTCTGTTCATATGAAGTTTGATTTGTTCTTTCTTGGATGGAAACCCAGTCAGTTGAGAGTTCTACTTTAATGACCGTTAATGAAAGCAGAGTATTACATCACAACCAAAGGTTTTATTACAATAATAAACATTTAACATGAAGCCAGCTGTGGATGAAGAGGCTGAACTTTAGAAGCAAAGACAGAGATCAGTACAGGCAGAACTCCCAGAGATGTGAAACCGCTTCCAGCCGTTCCCATGCAGGAAGATCTCTCTCTGCTTCAAACAGAGATCAGTCCGTCTTCTCCGCAGCAGTCCTCTGTCTGAGCTGCGCCTCAGATCGAACGCTGCTCCTCATCGCTCTCTGCAGGGCCCAGGTGCTCAGATGGACCAGAACAAAGGCTCCTCCAGCTGCCCACAGCCAGTTCCTCCGGATCCAGCTCTGAGACTTCATCCAGACTCACTGAAAGACAGCAGCACACATCAACGCCATGGTGGACAGGAAAGCTGATGTTTGGTGAGGAAATGAGGATCCAGCAGCTCACAGCTGAGTCCTGCTGGAGATCAGGGCTCCAGCTAACCATCATTTAGCAAATCCATTCATCGGAAGATTATTTTCTCCATTAATAATCACACTTTCTACTAAATTAAACAAGTGAAACTCAAACTTTTCCACTTGAGGGGTTCTGATAGAGCATGTTGACACAGTGTTGTTTTTTTTTTTTATCTTAAATGAAAAATATTTATATATTTTGTATAATTCCTGCTCTGGGGGAGGGGCGGCCTAGTGGTTAGGGCATAGACCTTGGAATCCAGAGGTTCTGAGTTCGAGCCCCACTCCCACAGACTGCCACTCTGGGTCCCTGAGCAAGACCCTTAACCCCACACTGCTCCCTCGGCGCCGCACAATGGCAGCCCACTGCTCCCCAATGAGATGGGTTCAATGTAGAGAGTTCATTTCTCCAATGTGAGATCAATAAAGTTCAATTATTATTTAAGTGGGTCTCTAGACTCCAGATAAACCGATGACTAAATTATTGTTTCAATAATCGATTAATCTGATTGTTTCAGCTCTAGTGGAAATCATTAGACAGAAAGCTTCCAGATGTCTCTTGGATGGTCAGTAAGGGACCTAAGGGTCAGCTTAGTTTTATTTAATGGCAGGACTGAAGGGATCCAGGAAACTGATTCAGGGAGGGGCAGGATGGTTCCTCAGCTCTGGAACCGTTGCCCTGGAAACACGGACTACAAAAGGTAAAACATTTCGGTTCTGGCTCTAAAATGAAACTTTAGTATCAGTTTGCCTTTAATGAGCCTTTTAATGCTTCCCAGGGTTTAACAGAGAACTCCATGTGTGAAATAGTTTAAAGTCTGCTGATCTCTGTGCCGTTAGCAGCTAGAGAACACCTCTATAAATAACCCTGCATTGTGGACCAGGAGCCTGATAGTCGGTTCTTTGCAGCGACAGGTGAACTGATCACACGGCTCGGTGAGCGCAAGCAGAGCACAGCATGAAAGGATGATCTGAGAGGCTGGTGTTAAACCAGCAGCATCTAGTAGACAAACCAGGAAGTGCATGTGCTGACAGGAAGTGCATGTGTTGCCAGGAAGCGCATGTGCTGACAGGAAGCGCATGTGTTGCCAAGAAGCGCATGTGTTGCCAGGAAGCGCATGTGCTGCCAAGAAGCGCATGTGCTGCCAAGAAGCGCATGTGCTGCCAGGAAGCGAATGTGCTGCCAGGAAGCGAATGTGCTGCCAGGAAGCGCATGTGCTGCCAGGAAGCGAATGTGCTGCCAGGAAGCGCATGTGCTGCCAGGAAGCGCATGTGCTGACAGGAAGCGCATGTGTTGCCAAGAAGCGCATGTGTTGCCAGGAAGCGCATGTGCTGCCAAGAAGCGCATGTGTTGCCAGGAAGCGAATGTGCTGCCAGGAAGCGAATGTGCTGCCAGGAAGCGCATGTGCTGCCAGGAAGCGCATGTGCTGCCAGGAAGCGAATGTGCTGCCAGGAAGCGCATGTGCTGCCAGGAAGCGAATGTGCTGCCAGGAAGCGCATGTGCTGCCAGGAAGCGAATGTGCTGCCAGGAAGCGCATGTGCTGCCAGGAAGCGAATGTGCTGCCAGGAAGCACATGTGCTGACAGGAAGCGCATGTGTTGCCAAGAAGCGCATGTGTTGCCAGGAAGCGCATGTGCTGCCAAGAAGCGCATGTGTTGCCAGGAAGCGAATGTGCTGCCAGGAAGCGAATGTGCTGCCAGGAAGCGCATGTGCTGCCAGGAAGCGCATGTGCTGCCAGGAAGCGCATGTGCTGCCAGGAAGCGCATGTGCTGCCAGGAAGCGCATGTGCTGCCAGGAAGCGCATGTGCTGCCAGGAAGCGCATGTGCTGCCAGGAAGCGAATGTGCTGCCAGGAAGCGAATGTGCTGACAGGAAGCGAATGTGCTGCCAGGAAGCGAATGTGCTGCCAGGAAGCGAATGTGCTGACAGGAAGCGAATGTGCTGCCAGGAAGCGAATGTGCTGCCAGGAAGCGCATGTGCTGCCAGGAAGCGAATGTGCTGCCAGGAAGCGCATGTGCTGACAGGAAGCGCATGTGTTGCCAAGAAGCGCATGTGTTGCCAGGAAGCGCATGTGCTGCCAAGAAGCGCATGTGTTGCCAGGAAGCGAATGTGCTGCCAGGAAGCGAATGTGCTGCCAGGAAGCGCATGTGCTGCCAGGAAGCGCATGTGCTGCCAGGAAGCGCATGTGCTGCCAGGAAGCGCATGTGCTGCCAGGAAGCGCATGTGCTGCCAGGAAGCGCATGTGCTGCCAGGAAGCGCATGTGCTGCCAGGAAGCGAATGTGCTGCCAGGAAGCGAATGTGCTGACAGGAAGCGAATGTGCTGCCAGGAAGCGAATGTGCTGCCAGGAAGCGAATGTGCTGACAGGAAGCGAATGTGCTGCCAGGAAGCGAATGTGCTGCCAGGAAGCGAATGTGCTGACAGGAAGCGAATGTGCTGACAGGAAGCGCATGTGTTGCCAGGAAGCGCATGTGTTGCCAAGAAGCGCATGTGTTGCCAGGAAGCGCATGTGCTGCCAGGAAGCGAATGTGCTGCCAGGAAGCGCATGTGCTGCCAGGAAGCGCATGTGCTGCCAGGAAGCGCATGTGCTGCCAGGAAGCGCATGTGCTGCCAGGAAGCGCATGTGCTGCCAGGAAGCGAATGTGCTGACAGGAAGCGAATGTGCTGCCAGGAAGCGAATGTGCTGCCAGGAAGCGAATGTGCTGCCAGGAAGCGAATGTGCTGACAGGAAGCGAATGTGTTGCCAGGAAGCGCATGTGCTGACAGGAAGCGCATGTGCTGACAGGAAGCGCATGTGTTGCCAGGAAGCGCATGTGCTGACAGGAAGCGAATGTGCTGCCAGGAAGCGAATGTGCTGACAGGAAGCGAATAGAATGTGCTGCCAGGAAGCGAATGTGCTGACAGGAAGCGAATGTGCTGCCAGGAAGCGAATGTGCTGACAGGAAGCGAATGTGCTGACAGGAAGCGAATGTGCTGCCAGGGAGCGAATGTGCTGCCAGGGAGCGAATGTGTTGCCAGGGAGCGCATGTGCTGACAGGAAGCGCAAGTGCTGACAGGAAGCGCATGTGCTGACAGGAAGCGCATGTGTTGCCAGGAAGCGCATGTGCTGCCAGGAAGCGCATGTGCTGCCAGGAAGCGCATGTGCTGCCAGGAAACCCCTGTGTTACCAAGAAGCGCATGTGTTGCCAAGAAGCGCATGTGTTGCCAAGAAGCGCATGTGCTGCCAGGAAACCCCTGT